GATGTCTGGTGCGAGCTTTCCATTCTGGGTTGGATTTTTATTTATTTTTTTGGGGGAAAAGGTTCTGAACTGCCTCCACTCCCTCGGCTCTGACCTCTCGCTTGATAAGGTGGGCGCCCAATTTATTTCCCAGCGACGTCATGAATATTTTCAATCTTTCTAATGCGGTGCACTCGGGTCAATAGGGCCGCACTTTGTAATCAACGTTGAAGCTATAGGTTAATACCAGAAATGTTCTTTTTTGTCATGCAGCCTAATCTGATTAGATTAGGATTCATCACAACAAGGCTGAATCCAAGTGTGCTCAGTGTGGTGCTTTTTAAATGCAACATGTGAAGGCAGATGCGCCTGAGTAGTTTCTCTGATGTGACTGATTGTGTCTCCGTACATCCAACCAGCGGTTAAAAAGTGAGGCTGGTAGGTCTCCCAAAAAGGTTTGAATCAACAAAATGTGAAAAATAAAGGGTAGAGCTGCTTTGCACACCGTGCTCTCCATTGTGTTGCTTTATCTAATTATGACGGGCCATTCTGCTGACATGGAAAGTGCACGGTGACGCCCAATCACGACTCCATGTTTAATTTCCCTCGTTAACCATTGGTATATTAACACCAAAAATCTGATGGTTGATTTTCAAAGAGAATTGATTAAATAGAGGAAATGTGACATGAGTCCCCTTTTGAAAATGAATAACGGGCTGACACTTAAGTAATTTAAATCCCCTCTGCCAATGGCGCAGTTATCGGCATTTAGATTGAAGAATTTCATCTTAACCGCATCAATTCATTTAATTTTGAATTTGAACGCAAGCAGAATCAGTGTTCGCACCGTGGTGACTGACTGAGTTCGCCGTACGCCAGTTGGAATACGACCCGCTGCTTGCTGCTCAATTGACCTTCCAGTTTTTTCCAATTGAAAAACGGCTGAGTAATGAAGACACTTTGTGCACATTAATCCCCCATTAGTGTAAAAAAACCTTTTTCACTTAGCCTTTCTTGGCCGATTGTAGCGTTTCCTGATTAAATGGGGATATTGTGTTGTAGCTCGTGGATGCTTCTGTGCAACTCTTATTGAGGCGTAAATGTTTGGCTTCACCATGCTGAGGAAAAATAGTTGGATGATGAGATATAATTACGTCAACCGTTGTCACATCATACATGAGAACCACAATGCACAGCAAACAATGTGCGTACGTGCAAGCCTTTGTGCAGCAGTAGAAATGTGGCTTTCAGCCTGCCGCACAATTGGTGTTCCTGTAGTGATGCCAGATAACAATAACTAAGGTGCGCTGGGCGGAGAGGATCTCTACGGCCCCTGAAGTAAATCTGACATTGCTAAGATCAACTTCTGCACACAGCAGTGGTTTTAGTCAACTACTCGACTGGTCATATAGTTTGTGACTGTTGTGTTTGACCTCTACGGCCTTTATGAATTCCCGTAACAAAATATCAACAAGACTGTCCCACTTCCTCATCCTTCACTCTCAATAGCGTCAGTAATGGAAGACGTTTAAGAGCATACTTCCTAAAATGTATCAAAGATCTTGTGCCCCATCAAAAACTTCCTTCAAACGGAGGAGAAATGTTGCATTGTTGGTGTGAAGCAAGGAATCTACTCTGTATCCAAACACATAATAATGTAGGTCTGATCAAGTCAAAGTATACGTTCGAGTAGCATTGTTACCTTTCTGATCCAAGCCTCTCCAGCAAGCAATGTCCCACTTTTTGCCTCGGAAATATTTTCTCACCCATGCCACTGCAGTGAACCGCAGGTTCCAATTTTAAATCTATGAAAAAACATAACTATTTAAATCAAAGCAGACAGAAAACTAGAAAATAAAACCGTGATTCACACTGTCAAATCTTTGAAGAGGGCGCTGAACCGCACTGCGTCTTTTTGGTTAATTATTCCACAAATGTAGCCTAATGACTACATGAATTATTGTTGCACAGATTCCACAGCTAAAAGCTCGGCATCTACCGTCCTACCTCTCGACAATTTACGCATGTAGCTGACGCTCCTCAGGTAATTAACAGTGAAGGAGCTTGTGAAGTTCACAAATTGTTCAAGGACACTTGGACCGTTGACAACGGACATCATTTGTAGCTATTGCAGTTAATGAACCACTGACCCAGTTAAGAAAACGATCTACCGGCTGAGGACCACTAACATTATCTTTGGCATTTATCCTCCGCTCTACGATAGATTAGCAGCAATGAGCACACGTCTTTTGTGGAGGACGGTTACTGTCCATAAGATCAATAAATACACACTGTTTGGAAGCTTTCTGCCGCTGCAGGGATTCATCTTCCTCCAGTGGAACACCGTGACGGTTGAAGACACTGCACCGAACCCACACAGCATTTAGGTCTCTTTTCCACCAACAAAAGCAGTTCCTCTTCTTAACGCTGCCGAATTGATGTGGCGGCGCTGCAGCAGGGAAAAATCGCAGCGTGGTACCACAGCCGAAGACAGGCTGCATCATCTGGCACAAACTGCTGGAGCTAATCAAACGGCCTTGAATGTGAATACCAGGTTGTATTTTGCGGCCTGAAAATATCGTGATGAGGCTTTGAAGAATAGGAGTTGGTGAAACACTGCATATCCTGTACCGTAGCCATGACAACACAACTCATTTCAACCGACTTGGAGTACCCTTCATTTCAATCTTCTCAATCAGCTTCAGTTGAAACATCAAATCATCTGATGGAGATTTTTTTTTATTTTAGATTAAATTAAGCAAAAGAAGTTGCAGCAGTGCCGCTTCTCGCACCACTAATTGGACCCAGGTGCCCTTCCAAAGGGTTTTCAAACTGGTTGTGACATCACTGATGAGGGTGTGGCAAGGTGTAAACACCCTCCTTTTCTTTAAAATGTCTCTAATAACTCCTTTCTGTGTGTGTGTGTGCGTGTTCCCAGTTGTCTTCAGCTCAAGGTTAAAAAACGGAACAAGAAACCCAGTCTCTCTCCTCTCTGTGCGAGGAGGAGGAGGAGGAGGAGGGCTGGTTGCTAGGATGCATATTCCTCCGGTTACAGAGCTCTTTGATACCCGCGTCGCTCCCTCCTCTCATAGACCTGCACCCACTCACATGGCTCAGCCAAGGCACTTAGACACACAAAAAGAACGCACAAACACGCACCATGCAGGTACGCCTGTTTTGTTTTGTTTTTTCCTCCGGAGCGGGGCAATAACAGCTACTCTCCAGCATAATGTCAAGGCAGGATCTCTGCTGGGCGGCTGTCTAACCACACTAACAAGGTGAGCAGACGGCGGGAGCTGTTGCGGCGGACGTCTGCGCTCCCTCAGGAGGAACCGACAACGAGCGGACTGGCGCGGCTAATAAGGCCTCGGTGCGGCGATGCCCCCACGCTGCGAGAGAGCGCTGCTCAGACCGGGATGCGAGTATTTAAGCTGCACGCAAGACGAAACGCCTCATCAGCCTTCTCCAGTAGTGTCGGTGTTGGCTTCTCTCCTGTCCACAAAGGGCTGTTAAGTGGCACTTCCATTGCACACACCCGACAACGGAAAGGGGTCATGGACCGAATCCACCGGGCCTACAAAGTTCGGCAAAAGTTGACATGAGGATTCGGCATAGCCCAGATCTTTGAATTCCTGCCTGCATCTGTGATTTGTTCAGTGATTTCACCAGACGCAGCCCCACGTAGCTACAGAGCTAGATTCATGTAAAATAGCATCATAACAATATCAGGTGATGACCTTAGAAAATAATATTTAGTGCCTTTTGAGGCCGTGTCCTGTTTGCAACCAGGGCGAGGTACGAAGATGGATTGCCTCAGACATTTTACGTACATGTAAAATCATAGCCTTCCCGATAATTTTATGTTCTTTGTGTTTCTGCATTACTAGACTAACTTTAAGCCATTTAAGTTGTTTTCATATTGTAAATTTGGAATGCTGCAGTAAAATGTGCTTTTAATATCTGACTAGTAAAAAAATCTTATTGGAAAATGGATTTTCTTTGTCTTCAGGCTATAAAAGCATCACTGCAGGGCCAAGAGGAACAATCACAGCAACCGAAAACCTTTTCTGAATCACACATGTCGTACAAGTAACGCATCAAGATGAGCTCTGAAAGACCTCAACCTTTTTAAGACACAGGTCCAAAGTTGCATGAAGCATCTCTGAGCACAACCAGAACAGGTTGTGGAGGTGACAAATTACTGGCGTGAACAAAGCTTTAATATGTATTTCTGTACGCTGTTAACACATAAGAGACAATGAGGCTTCCGCTTCAGACGAGACGTTTGTGAAAGTAAAGATGAAGTGCATCCGGCTTGGTTGCAATCCTCTTTTCATTCTCCTTTGCTGCTGTTGCCGAGGCATATTTTGCAGCCCACATTCTAATGAGACATAGAGCGAGGAGGGAGGGAGGGGGTGGAGGGGGGAGATTATGTAACTCTGTTACATAACACAATGTGCATGGCCTTCTCTCTCTGTATCTCAGACAGAGTGACAGCGAGAAGATGGAGTGTTTTTAGGGGTGCGGGTGTTAAGGAGGGCGATTTGAAGAGGCGTGTGCCTCACATCTCATTAAGGCTGCGTTTCTAATAACGCCGCTGATGAGGAGAAGTTGTTTGGGAGGTAAGGGGACTCTGAGAGTGGACCCCCGGCTTGCCTTAGATTAAAACTCAACCATCAAGTGGCATTCAGGTGGGTTTGCTGGGTAATTAAAGTCGATAAAATGTTATTGCTTTCACCCTCAGCCCACCTGGTTGGCTGGGGATCGAAAGAGGACAGATAATAATTAGGAATTGGACTTGACGCTTATATTGCAGCAATTTGCTAATTACATAAGAAATAATGTTCTTGTTTATTTCTTGCAGCCTCAGTACATTAATGTAGTTTCTTCTGATCTCTTGTGAACAGTTTGGTGACCTCGTGGTGTTAGTTCAAAGCTTTTTAGGGAAAGTACTTTTGCGTGCAGTGACCTTATTTGCTGAAGCTCATTGAACCCACGCAAACATACTCTGAAAAACCAAACCGTGATGAAAAAAGTTTATTCTTGTGTTAAATACAAAATTGCGACAACAGCTACAAAACGGGGCAACATTTCTGCGGAGCAGTTTGTTCTCATCATCACGAGTAGTTGACTTTCACACAGAACGTCTCCTCCGTCTTCTCCTCCAGGTTGTTCACGTAGACCAGAATCTCCACCGAGCCGGCACTCTGGCTGGGGGCGAACCGCAGGCCGATGGTGTAAGTCTCTCCCCCGCTGATCTGGACACAGTGGAGGCAACGCGGCAGGCAGGCTTCATATTCATGTGCTTTGTGAGGCAACTTATCCGCCCTTCATCCCCAGCCGGCAACACTTAACTGATCCGTTGTTCTGGCTTTATATGATTTTGCATCGCCGCGGAGGTTTTTCTTTTACTTGCAATTTGTTTAAATTGATCAAATCGCTTCTGGATTGTGGAAATCAGCGATAGGGGACAAAGAAAATAAAATGAGCTTCTGGTCTTTCCTTAATCTTTAGTCCAATGTATAAATTTGGTGTGATTTGCCTTTAAAACGTTTTTTGTCTCCGGGGTTAGAACACCTGGTTCACTCTCCGAGGGAACAGTCCAACAAATTCGAAGCAGTTACTCAGAAGTCAAAGACTAAAACGTTTGTAAAAATCGACCAACTGAAGGCAGGTCAGCTTGCGTCCACAAAAATATTATATATTATGAGTAATTTTATCCTGTAAATGGTGCAAAGACGTATGCACAACATTACTGTGCATCCGCATTGTGGGTTTGAATAAACTGTTTTCAGCCAGAGTGCGACTTTGATCATTTCTTTCCCTAAATGAAGCCTCACACCGCCTTGTTTGGAATGTATTTCTAGTTAAGGCTCAAAGTGTGCTAAAAAGACCCTTATTTGTCTTTCTCACTATTTTAGAAGGCCCTGAGCTTTCTTCTCGCATTTTTCTGTAATAGCCAGCAATGGATGTATGGGTCAATTTGGGGGATTTATGTCGCAATTTTTTTTTTTCCAAGAGCATAGCAGTATTGATCTGGGCTCCGCTCGCCCTCCTGCCAGCTGGTTTCATCATGGTGCGGTGGATAACATCAAAGGGAGAAGTGTCTCCCCATTTGCTTAATGCTGCGGGGATAGTAAATTCTTTATAAAGACGCCTGGCTCCTCGCTGACAAGACGGAAAAAAACAATGGGCTGTTTTTTACTTTCCCCACCTGCTTCTGTCTAATTGATGCAGGGTCTCCTGGACAGCGGCAGCGAGACTTAAATAGTTTATGTGGCAACAGGCGCCCTTTGGGTCTCATTCATTTGTTCATTTGAAATGCTGCTTTTCCATTTTGTTTTGCCGTCTCATCACAGCTGTGCCAGAGGACGGCCTATTAGAGACATTCTGCGAGGTACACACCAGCAGTAATGACTTTGAAGGAAACCATTCACCCGTCTAACACCCAATGACAGCAAACACTGAAACCTTCATTTATTTTTCCTCACAGGTTAAAATCTTTTGACAATCCGCGGGTTTATTATAGTCCGCACTGAGGAATTTCATTGTGTAGCGGAGTCAGTGATGTTTAAATGTTATGTGTATACCATGAGAAACAATTTGGGCATTGGTGAAATAATTTAATGTAAAAAGGTCAAACTCCTCGTGTTCCGGCTGCGCTGCGGCTCGACCACAGCTCTCAAACGTCCACCAGAAACGAGACCTACAAATGTGTTCTTCGAGTCTATATTCTTCCATTTATAAGACACTTAGAAACTGAAATGTTTGGTGTCACTGTGTGTGTAGAGAAAGTGAAACTACATTACTGAAGCAGACTAATCAGTCACAAAAAACCTTTCAGTCAGTGGAAAGCCACTGATGACATTTACAGCGTGTTCTGTTGCCTGATTGGAATATATTATGTGACCGGGTGGATTTGAGTTGTAAAGCCTTTCGCACAATTAGTTCATCTACAACGATATCGCCGTGGCGGACACAGTTTTTCATATTATCACCATGGTTATGAGCTTTACAGACATTAGTGACTGAAGAATGCTGAAGGTGGCCTCACTTTACATCTCAAATCAGAATGGACAGTAGTTCCTATTCGGAGAAGAAAAACTTGCTACTGACGGCAGTAGCAGCTTTTTTTTTTATTCCAAAGACTTTCAAATGAGCATATCGAGGCTTCCTATCATTGCTCAGCAGGATTTTCCCCTCCAGCCTTGCTCTGCCTCAACGTGAAAGACAAGGTGGCGGTCTTCATTTCTAGAAATGATGGACAGTGCTCTGTTTTGTGACCTCACCTGGAATTTCTCCTCTTTGAACTGGAGCAGGTCTGGATGGTCCGAGCGCAGCAGGAAGGCCCGGCTGCTGCTGTATGGGTTGGTGTAGGTGATCTTCCTGGAGCTTCCGCGGCCCCCACAGACTGGGACACACACTTCAAATGCCTACACACACAATTAGTGCCACAATTGATTTGTCGCTACATTTAGATTAGATGACCAATTCATTACTAAGACAAGTGCAAGTGATCAAGATTGGACAAAGAATGGGACTAAATTCTGAGGATTAAACTGAGCTGCATCACATGAGAGAAAAACATTGAGAGTTATAATGTGAACACAACCTTCGATAGTCAAATGACTCAGAAAGGCGTTATAGGGGATCAGCGGTCCTTTTTTTTGACACTAATATTGTTAAAAATAGGATCAGAATTGATGCTATTGTCTTTTTGTCTTTTTACCATGACTCCCTGCCACCGGCTTCTCTGTGCAAGCATGCAACGGTGCAACCTTCCGCTTACTGACGTACCCAGAAACCGCATCGTTAAACTGCTCTAGTGCCGCAAGTTCGCTGTGCTTGTTAGTAAGCAAGGACCCACAACCAAGTTCAGCTAGTTTGGCCGGCTACCGCCCAATGGGGGCGCGTTAGCGTGTTACTGCATACCTGGTGGGCAACGGTAGCTTTGCCGTGCAAATACTTCACCAAGCTTCCCAGCCCTTTCTACACGAAAGAACACACAGATGTGTGTATGTAATGACGCAATTAGGAATTATTTGCATCTTCGACACGGTGCAAGATTTGTAAAAGATCAATGGATTATCCATTAGAAGGAGGGAGGGGGGATTGAGTGTATAGGAAACGGTTTAAAGTGTTGAGCCTCTTTAATCTCATCTAAAATGATGTACTCAAAAAGCACCTCTGCGATTTTGGCTCTGCACTGCTCAAACCATTTGTACTCTGGAAGAGAAAAATGAGTGACAATGGTTTCCAAAGCCTCCCCAAATGCAGTGTGACGGGTTCATAACAACATCACACGGATGAACCAAGTCCGTGTCCCCCCCCATTGACCCAAATACTTCATCCTTGGAACAGTGGTTTCTCTCACCATAGAAACATATGGACACACATAAGTATAAACATATCAGTTTATATGCATGTTTTATTGCACCATGTCAAATTCCTCTATTGTTGCACATACTATGTGTCAAATGGCTTCTGATTCTGAGTATTACCATCTTGGGTTGGGAGCACCACACATACCTTGGACAGTACAGGCCGGTGGACGTTGAGACAGAGCAGCCAGGCAGTGACCAGCCGCCGCTGTTCCACATCAACGGCGTTCACGTACAAGAAGCGGCTTCCAGCCCGCCACGGTTGCAACTTCAACTGAAGCTCCTGAAGCGCCGCGGGAGGCAGAAGGAACACACCTGCTGGGTCCACCTACAGGAAGGAAGAGGCTTGGAGTTTGGTGGTGTTGTAAAAGTGGGACAAGAGACGATTTGGTAGCAATAAAAGCATTGAGCAAGTAACAGAACGAGAATGGCTCACAATGGAACAGGAGATAACACTGGAGAGGCGGGGAGGGGAGGGATACTGGGAAGGACAGAATTAATGGGAAAAGGTGGTTAACCGTCTCTTGGGAATATAATAGAGTGGGTGAGAGGGCAGACAATGAAATGAGAGAAAGTAGAGGCAGAAAAGTGAGACAGAAAGTTGTGAGAATGAGATTTACTCGGTGGCTCTTTCTTTAATCTGTCGGGAAAAGCAAAGCTATTCTCTGGCGGTGAGCTTTATCCGCTTTCATAAGACTCCTCCGATGCATTCCACAGATCAAAGCTGGCGCTGCTGCACACGGTGAAATCTTTTTTTTTTTTAAACATCTGTTCCTCTTTTAGTCTGTAGGCCATTTTACTCAGGGAGGGAACATCCCGCTCGTACTGTACAAGGCGGTGAATGTGACTCTTGACTGAGTCATATTTTGAATGCACTTTTACTACAACTCTGTATGAAAACCAGTGGCGGCTGGCCAATGGAGGTTTAGGAAATGCGGAATGTACCCAGTAATATTTCTAAAACATGATTCCTGCGCATACACACTGTACTGTTTTAGCTGCGCCAGTGACAATCCCAAGATTGTCCACAGAAGGAGTGTATAAGCGCTTGCTGATTAAATACAAAATGTGTGACATAGAATTTAGCCAATCAGGCTCAGTTTATTTAAATACACTGAGTCAACATTGGTTTTGGCTCAGATTTTGACAACCGACATATACACTACACATTATATTATTTGATGTAAATATCTCATATCATATGCTGAATTGCCATTGAGGGTGACAAATAAGATGGTCAAAATGTCATTTTACTGCTTTTTTTCACGTTGAAATATTTAACTGCCAAGTACTAATGCGTTTTTCATACTTTAATTGTTTTGCGTTAAATCAACCTGCGATGTTTGTTTGCTGAAATTGATTCGATACCTAGAACATTTTCCGCCAGCCGCTACCGATGAAAAGCATCATCAAGCTCTTTTCTCTCTTTTACCCAGTTAGGAAATTATCTTAAAATAAACTCTGGAAATATATTTTGATATCTTCAGAGAGTGTAAAACCATTTTACATTTTGTAATTGTGATGTGGCCCAACATATGATCCGATGCAGAGAGTAATAGTTGAATAAATGAATAAATCAGATGAAAAAGACACATGCTGTCTATCTGCATTTGTACAGTCTTTATAATGACTTAAATCTTAACCTGGAGTTATTACAAAAAAATATATATTTTTGATTCAATCTTTCTCAGTATTTCCTTCTAATTTTTACCGTATTTGTCCCAATTAATAAAATCTAAAAAACATAAAAAGGGAAGGCAAAAGAGAATGCTTTATCTCAGAGGAAACACCCGGAAATGGATTAACACTCAACGCCATCCGAAACTACTGTTGGTTGAAAGCTCAAGATCGCTCGTCAACTTACGGGCACAATCAGATGTGATCCAAAAAGTATTTACACCTAATTTAAAATGACCTCAAAACAGAAACATCTGCAGCAGCACGTCTGGACCCAGACGTCCAATACAACAGGAGCCTCTCTGACTCTGCCTTTGGACCTGCCAGGACAGAAGTGTTGTTACTCTTGAAGATGTGTACCTGGATCTCCTGGGGGTGTGATGAGAAACATTTGACCTTGCGAACAGCCTGCTTCCCCCTCAGCACCAGGGATTGACAGCTGCGCTGGCCAGTCACACAGCTGACATCCACCCGCTCCAGGAAATGCACGTAAATCTGCCAGATCTGGGAGGGTGCTGCCATCCACCTATCCCTGCACAGAAAACCACCATCAGAAACGATTAAGCCGAGACGCAGCAGGATCAGCGTGAGGTCGGAGACGAGGGGGGCTGATCTACGGCTGTGCGAGGATTTAAAAAAAAAAAACTGCAACATGATCATAATCACCGTCGCACTGATGAGAGGGAGCAATGTACATTTCAGCTGTAAGTGGTGTGCAATGCAGTCACCTATTCACCGCCTGCTCCGTGACAACTGCACTAAAGGAGCATTTGGAGAGCAAGTCAAAAGGTTACTGGAGACGCAATATTACCTGTGTTGCATTGAAGCTGCTACTAAGCAATATTACGCTTTCCAGCATTATTAATTTAAAAACATTTTCTCAAAACAAGTTTTTAGGTTTGCTTGATATAAAATGTCCTGAAGGTCCAATCAATTGGCAGTGTCTTGTAGAGGACACGTGTCGGAAGCTACTTTTAAACGCTCTTGTATTATTTGTATTGAGCGCATGTGCTTCCTATTCCTGAATGACTTTACCACAAACAAACATTAGGAACAGGTCGTATCACTCCAGGAGCACTGGATGAGCAAAGTGTCTTCGTATTTAATGAAGCTGCTAATCGTCCGCGGCGTGCACCATGTCAAAGATAAAATGTTTGTGTTCTTGTTACTGATTCAATGTCCAGTGCAGATTTGTGCATGACTTTAATTTGCCTAATGATCATTTCTCATTAGGAAAAAAAATGTTAAGTGACCTGTGGGGCTTCCGACCATTAGTTCTTATCTCTGCCAGGAGAATCCTGCAATCGCCGGCTTGTGTGCATGAGTCTGTGCTGCGAAAGGGGACGACGGAGCACTTTGCACTAGTGATAACACAGCAGAGTGCGTCGCCGGCGCCCACAGCCGAGTGGAGGCATAACAGTTTGCTCACTTTAATTGTTTTGGATGTTTTGTTTGTCCATCAGCTGACAGCTAACTGAACTTCAACTACACACACTTCTGAGTGCCTCGCCGCCACTCAGCAGCCGCTAAGGAGGCAGAAAGGTGAATTTACTTTGGATTTCACAGAACTAAACGACTTGTCTTACACGACGACTTTGAGCCGCCTGCCTGCAATCATTGGCGCTTGTTCGGGTCTCCCCAGAATGGGGGGGGTTAGCCACTTGTGGCTCGCATTAATTAAATCCCACAATGCAGACACACCTGGCAGTGACCTGCACTCTAATTAGGGCACATGTCTGGTTGTGAATACATTTCAAGAGGTATCATTTGTCAGATAGCAGAATGTGCTGTGCAAATGTTTTAAGAGGGAGATGATGCAAAGTGCCTGTGTTTCCCCTTGCTCAGCAGACCAGTTCTGCACTATACATATGTGTGTATTAAACAATACATACGTGAAAACCATAACAAAGAACATTTTTATGTGTGGACTCGGACTCCCCGGCACCTTCAAGTACACGTCCTGAGGCTCCCCTGGCGCCTAGACGGAATCAGATTAAAGAGGTTTTAAATTGGAGGAGTGAAGACAGAAACAAAAAGACAACCCACATTAAAAGGGTCAACGTGCACGGCATGTTTTCAGTACCAGCTTCTTGTGAATCACACCAGCACCTAGTTCTTAAGGTGAGCAGGAAATGGAGAGAAACATTCGGGTAATGTAGCTGTGTGGAATTGTACACAAATCTAAGGGGAAAAAAAAGATCCTCTCACAAGCATCCTTGTCTGGCAGATGACGTTCGGGTCACTGCAGCGTACGGAAATGTGAGTCCTGACATCTGGGTCTCCAACTGCTTGACCCCAAAAAAAGTACACATAAACATTACATATGGTAAATATTTGAACAAGACCTTTTTATATCTAAGCGGTTTAAACCAGTCGTTTGTAAGCGTGCAATACATTATATTTACATGATTATCTACACATATGTGCTATACGAGCTGAGTTATGTTCTTCATATTCCATTAATTTATCCACTTCCTTCTTTATATTCAGATGCCTCCCTGTTGCGATTACCCAATTTTGTGTGGCGTCCTGAGATCATGGTGTTTGTTCTCATGTGATGTAATTAATGTATTGATTGGGAGGTACGATAGCCCAATCAAACGTGAGGGGAAGTGACGTTGGGGGGGCGGGGTTGATGACGGAACTCGGAAAGATGTCTGCAACGTCAGCGGACAACTGTTTGGGTACCACACGCTTTGTATATATTAGTTATTTACCTGCTGGTTTATTGTGTGTGTTGTATTGCGTGTACTTGTTAATAATTGTTCCTATTTACATCACATTGCAAGTAAATGGTGTATTACTATATTTGGTGTCGGGCTGTTTGATGGGTATTATAAAAGTGCTTAAATAATATGGTTAGCAGAGTGCAGTAACTTAGCATTAATTATATATAAACCGCTTAGGAATTTGGGCAGTGCACTCCACTCAAATAGCCAGGACGGCTATGGGGGCGCTACATTTGCCATTAGAAATGGCATTTTAGTATTAGTTTTTGTTGATATTTTCGAAAGAACAATGAAATGAAGGCAACACATATTATTCATTCGCCATACACTTGTATTTTTGCAGAAGTATGCGCAGATCTACGTGTTACCGCTCTCCTGGAGGGTCAGTCAGAGAGCCGACTGATGGCGTACGCACAAAACTAACACTAGAAATATGAATACATTGAAATGAATAAGATACAAAGCAAGTTATATGAAAGAAGTAGGCTGATAGGTGTGTATGTGGTGGGACTGGGAGGCTGATGGGAGATGTCTGTAGTTCGTCTACCTACCTTCGGGGTTGTTCCAGGGCGGCAGGCGGATGGCTTTTTTGAGGAAGCTGAGCTCGGGATGGTAGAGCCGGAACGTCTGGTCAACAACGTGAGGCGTCGGCTCCACGTTCAGCTGGCAGATGGCCATCGGCTTGCCGTCTTCCGCGCTGAACGTCACCTGTGGAGGGAAGGTGAAAGGTCTGCAGTGTCAGCAGTACAGCAGCGTGCAATGAAACCGGCAACAACTAATAACGGCTATCTTTGCAAAATGATTTAAAACCATTTTGTGACCTCTTAAAAACATTAATTTACTCGTGACCGCCGTGTAAAAGGTTCAGGCCTTTCTGTTCATAAAACCGTGAGCAGTTTGACAAAAAGGGTTTTTTTTCTTTCTCAGCTGTTTAATTGAAAGAATATTTTAGGAAAAAAAAATGATTTGTACGGATTTTAATATACGAATTTATTATATTTTGTGTCATTTTATTCATCAAATCTAATTTTTTCAACCTCTTGGATGTCCCGACCATTGATGCAAACCACTTTATTTAAGGGTACTACTTGACATGTTGGCCCCTCAGGTACACAAAGTCAAAGCTGAACCAAGATGGTTGGTCTGTCAACTGTGATGCAATGTTTGAGTGATTGTTATTTCATTCGTTCACCTACATGTGCTCATGCTGGTCCTTTCATTAGACATTTAGAGAATGACTACATTTGTAACTCCTGACCCTCTACGGAGCTGGTTTGGGTATGTTTTCCTCCCAATGCAGTCCAGCTCTAAACAGCCTATACAACTTTTCAAAAAGCAGTTGAGGAATTTTATCTATAAATTCCCCACAGTACGACGATGATGGAGCCCGCTGTATACTAGAATATAGAACTTTGCTTCAATTTGACTACTGAAACCCCTACAGACCTGCTGAATGTGCTTTGAAGTTTGCTTTGCATCTAACCAGCCCTCAGGACGGGATCCATGTAAATTAACAGAATTGTGTTCATACATATGCACTAATTACATATGGTTACATATGATAACTGACATTTTGCACAAAAGCATATGAAAATACATTTGAATTGTCAACCCTTTCTGTGACAAAGTGGGTGACAACTCACCTTTGTCCCCATGTTGGTATGTGGGTTGGACGCTTGCCATGCTCGGCAGGTGTGCTGGAGGCTAGCGGGGAGGGCAGGCACTGAGGCCTAGTGTTTGGGCAGGGGATGATGTCAGCAGTGTCATAATGGGTGTTACCTGCGCACATGGTGCAACCTGGGGCGGGTTGATTGACAGCGCTATAAAGGTGGAGCACATTGACTGTTGGGAGGAAAATGGTGGAATCTCTGTGTAGCTGAGGGCACTTGTTAGATGAGGTTATGTGGAGTTGATGAATTAGATTTTGTTTGGTTGTTTATCTGTTTAATGAGACTTGTATCAGGAACCTTCCTTTTTTTTTTTTTTTTACAAATAAAAAACTTTTTTACCTGGACCAAGTCTCGCTTGGCTGCCTCTGAATTCCAGGATTCCCTCAGTCGTGACATTCTAACACTTTCACATCCCATTATATTTTAAGCCATCCTAAATTGGTGTTTGCTCACTTGATTTACATGATATAAAGCTACACGTTACTAGAGCGCAGAGAGTTTAGGTATTATGGATTACATGTAACTAAACTGCAGGATATGGATTAAACACTATGGTATTGACTACTGGCAACTGAATAATATTAACCAGTTTGAAGTGTGGAAAAGTTGCTCGGTAAATCTGTCTGTTCGTTGGTATTCAGTACCAGTCAAAGGTTTGGACACAGTTTCTCATTCAATAAGAAAGTGTGTCCAATCTTTTGACTGCTACTGTAGAGTTTCACAATCCCTTCAGGAGGAGAACCGGAGTCCAAAAGATTTATAGTCTAGTGATCCACACAGAGTCTTATTGATACCAATCATTGTTTGTTCTCTTCCAAGACCGATGCTGCAGTGTTGAGATGACAGCATATATAAAGTGCAGACCAAACACACTGCAGAGTTTATTTATTTGAAGGCTTTTAGTACGGAGATTACTCAATTATTCATAGTGCACTAATTAAATGCGTGGAACCCTACCATAATAAAAACCCACAGAACAATAAACATGTTGGTTTCAAAGTGGAAGAACTTTGACCTCCACTCCATGAAACATTAGCAATGGCTGAATGGGAGCATTCTCCTGCACTCAGGTTGAAAATATTGTGGAAAACCTTTCCAGAGGTGTGAAAGCTGTTCAAGCAGCAGATTCATGCTGATTAACAATGTTTGGTTGTCCACATACTATCAAATGTTATTTATACTATACATAAAACTTTGCAATTGGTTCTTACATTGATTTATACAAGGGATCTATGCAGTGGGATTCAGAAATAGTTCCAGGCAAGGATGAAATGCGGATCAAATGTACTAAATGTGTAATCTGATCTGATCTATTGTTACAAAAATAAAGCGTAACTTTCCACATTTTGGTTGCCAAGCCACAAACATCGAATCTGATCCCTGCCAAACAGCAGCTGTCCAAATCATTGATGCCCACGCTGACCTGCAATAGTGGCCCATATCTGGCTCTGGTGATGTGTGCTGACTGACAGCGGTGCCAAAGCTGGCGCCCTGACAGCTCCGCTGTTGGGGCTTGTCAGTTTTAGCGGGACACAATTTTGATCCGGACTCAACCTCTTTGACCTCTTGACAAGATTTCTGCTCAGAGCAGCAATGCTGACACTGGCGCACACACACACGCTGTAGGCAGACACGGACACACACTTGGCAGTGTGAGGGAGGCGCTTTAGGGTGTTGTACTCTAAAAAGCAACAGGACTATTGTTAAGTACAGGTCAGTGAGGGTTTTTTTTTAGTTTGGGTGCAGACTAGCATGTTCCATCACATGCAGATGTTGAGCACATAGTCTCATCCAAAGTCAATGGATCTAGCACATTCATAGTGCTTCTCCCTCTAAACTTCTCCCCACTATAAATGGTTGAATATGTGCATAAAATGGGGGAATAACTTCAGAGTAATACTATTCGTGCACGGTTCATTTTTAAAGTAGATTAGCTGGACACTTCAAGCTGTGCTCCCATCGGAGATACTGTAGTTTAACCCTCTAGGCAGACTTCTACCAGTTGGAGAAGATAAACAATATTCGGAAAGATAAAAGTAATTTCCAGCATATAATTTGGCCTGACAAGTGTTACATTTTAAGTAGTTGACACTTCAAAGGTTTCTTTGTTTCGGAGTTGCGACTGTGCAGGAGGAGAGTGGAGGGAGGAGGCGGTGCACCGCTGCTCTGCAGAGACTGTGTGTGTGTGTGTGTGTGTGTACCAGAGAGTTAACCCAAATGAATTCCAGATCAAAAGCTTCATACTAGTTTAGGTAACTTTGTCTTCCTCTACTCCTCCGAATATAACATTCAATTGATGTTTGCTAGGATACAATGTTTCCAGTGGACTATATTAAAGCTCTTATCATGGCAGAAACACGATGCACATCCACATGGCATTTCAAATCCATAGCTTAGTATAATTCCCGCCTGGAGACAGGCAACCAAAGGGACTGAGAAGCAACGCACTACAAAACGAGATAAGAATGGTTCAAATAATACATAAAAAATATTGTTCAAAGAACTTAATAGCAGACTGTACCTTAATGGTCTTGGCAGCAACAATGTTGGACAGATTTCTCTTGGCCACCTGGGAACCTTTGTGTGTCGGTTGAAAGCTGGGCCCCTGTGAGGATTTGATAAGAAAACGCAATAGTTATCAACATTGATCATCTATTAAAAAAAAAAAATGGCAACCGAGAAAATATCACATGTGCACACCAGACAAGAAACCTGGAAAAGATCACAAAACAGAGAAAGTGTAGAAACCCCCCTCATCTTCAGGAGATAAGAGCACACAACGGTGGCCCTTGGCCCAAATTACCTACGGAGCCTAAGTTGCCATAACCCGTGTATAACGTGGCCCCGGGATGGATCAGTTATGTTAAACAACCCCTGTGGTGTGGTGACATTTATATCAATAATATTTCAATTTGCACCGCTCCACCTCTTCCCACACTGCTCTCACACCAAGCCGCATGTTTGGACCACCCAGGGGCAATCAATTTAAAAAAAAAAAAAGGTTTCCACACCACTGGAATCAATAAGCAGAGCTGTGAAGTACCCCGGCATTAGAAGCCGCAGGGAGATCTTACATTTGCGGTGATGTATAAGCAGTGACTGGAAAAATCCCAGAATTACAAGCCAACTGCTGGGATACAATCCGCCGCAGCCGGCACAACTTACCGTGCCACAAAAACACTGTTTTAGAAGTTGACCACTCCTAACCGTCGCAGCGCCATCAACCTCCCGTGCACTGTACCTGAAGGGCCACGGTGTGGTCGCAGAGGAAACTCTGGTATTTCAGGGGGATGTGGATGCTCTCTCTGGGCCGCAGGTAAACCTTGGGACCTGGGGCACCTTCCTCCAAGTGAAACATGTTCTCCTCCAGCGGGGTTGGGGTTTCGGTTAGCGCTTTGAAGTAAGCCCACTCCTCCGTAGTCGTGATGACGCTGCGTGGAAAGATTAAAGGAAACGAGTGAGATGAAAGCAGGCTCTTGTATATGTTAAGGGATCTATCCAGGATCATAAATGAACTTGTCACACAGGATTAAACTTTTTTTTTTAACTGAACATTGCTTATTAGATCCTACAGTACGATAAGAGGAAACCCTGTCTAAACGTATTGATTGAGTTGGTGAAGAAAACGCCAATGGCTGAGACGTGGGTGTCATCTCTCTAAAATGAAGGTGACAATGGTCTTATGCGATTGATGTCTGCATATCCACAAGGGGAGAAAAGTGCTCAGTAAATTGGATTTTAACAGGTTATGTTATAAAAATGTCACTTTGATAGTGCTTCTACACGTTAATGTGTCTGTCTGGCACGTTTACCAGCCTCCCAAACGCTGGATGCATGTTCCTGTATTGATGTAACGCTAATTAAAACAACCCGGGGTTCGGTGACGTCATCAGACCTTACATGGCCTCGGCCCTCCCCCCGACACGCCCAAGCAAAATATCCTCAAAATGCTCCACACAACTCTCCTCATGGCGTCCCTGGATTAGAAGGCACGAGAGTGAAATGGATTCGTTCACATATATGAAGACCATTGGGGAGAGCTGTGGGCGCCAATATGACGCTGGACTCCCGCCACGATTGGTGCGGTTTGGGAGGCATAAAGAGAAAGGCACTAAAACGCAACGTTTCAGACAGAAGATACGAGAAAAAAAATGATGTTCCTTTTCAACATCAAAGCATTTTAACTGCATTTTGATTCTTTAAATTACAAGATTTCATAATTGGCTAGTTGGACCCACAGAATAAGATGACATCCATTCTACTCAAAAAGCTTAAAGTTGTTTTTCACACCACCAGCCAGCTTGAAATCTGGGATGCGGCTACGATGCATCAGGCTCTGATCTTGAGCTTTTGTCAGGTAGCTGGAAAAACTGTCCGGGAATGAAAGATTTGTGCTGCATATACGTTATATAAGGCTGGTTGTTCTTACTTTCCACCAATTATCACTAAACAAAATGTCACTGCAAGCCACGGGGAGGGGAGTAACGATAACGTGGTACAATATACATTTGGCTCTTACAAAGATGTGCTTGACGGCAGGTCAGCTAGCAGAGTTTTAAAAATCTACAAAAACGGTGTTGTGTGCTCACATTATTTCCCTAAGAGGGTATAGCAAAGGAGCAGGAGCAACAATATAATTTTCCTACTGTCATTAAACCAAAGCAAACTTTTGAATTTAATTTGAATTTATCTGTGTCTTTAGCTGTTAAATGTTCCCCAGGTATAAAGGGTGATATTAGAGCTTATAAAAACATGCAATGCATCTAAAACAACATATTTAGAGCAGACGTACAATGTGGCTTTCCCATTCTTACAAACTAATTCAAATAATGTGAAGTTGAGTGTACAGCCAACAATGGAAGTGAGCTATTTCGACAGCCTGGCAGCTTTCATAACAGTGTACGAAGGTCAGTGAAAGCCCCCCTGCAATCCCCAACTAATGGATTTCTAGAGAGAGAGCAACAGGAACAGATAAGACGCTCCGACAGTGGGAGGTCTCTCCTCTGCTCTTCCCTCTTATTTGAATGCAAATATTTCACGCATTGATGCATAAAGGAAAGCGCTGCCTTAAACTTCCAAGCGTTCCAACCCCTGTGCAGGGAGAGGGGGGGGTGGGGGGGGATTTCTCTCAATACGAGTGTGAAACTCTAGGAGTTTCTCAGGGCTCCACCTTCCCAACATTGGCGTGAGATGCAACTTAATTGGAGACCCCCACCTGTGCATTTAAAATGAACTATGTTTGCCTGGGGCTCATCACCACAACTAAGACTGCGTGTAAGAGGGAAAGATGACAAACTGAGGAAAAACAGAAGGAACAAAATAAAGATGATTCAAAAGGATACCAGGCGAGCGACTTGAGGAAGCGCATGGAGACGGAGCCCGGATGAGAGCGAAGGCAGCAGCCGCGTGGAAAGAAGCAGAGGAGCAGAGGTCTCCTGTCACTCTGCTAGCCAGGGGTCGTGGCTCACACTGGGCTCTGTGAGGCCAAGTGTGAAAGGTAGCCATGCAAAATGGATGGCAACAGGTTGCAAACGTGTCCTCCACTTCAAGGAGGAGCCTTTGGGCTCTAAACACACATCAAAGCCACTGCGGCCCTCTCTCTCTCTCTCTCTCTGAGTATTCTCCCTTCAAAGCCTGATGCTGGATTTCAGTTGGAGGGTCAGACTTTTCTTCTGTTTGTTTCTTTAGAACAAAGCACTAACCCAAGGCCCGGCTTCTTTTCTTTTTCTCATCAAATATTGACAAGGACGTTACGGCGCGCCGACCGGGCCATGGTTCACGCAGTCCAGGATAACAGGAGGTACTCGGGACGTTTGTGTACATATGTGTCAGTCCTTCAAAGACAAAGGAATTTTGCCTAAAGTGCAGCTCAGAAAATTCATAGCTCTCAAAAACAGGTAATTCTTTTCCCAGGAAACATTCCTGTGGCAACAAACAATTAAAAGTGTGTTTTGTTGAGTACCTGCAGATTATTGAAATATTTCAACATTTAAAAATGCATTCTTGCAGCCTTTTGCAAACCGCTTGATATAGATATTTTGTACCCGTACACAAACGTTTATATAAGAAAACGATGGATTAATGAAAAGATGTTTTCGGCATTTGCTCGGCTGCAGTTGCTAGGGGACATGACACGCTCATCGCCTGGTGACTCCTGGGAACTAAGTCAGAGTTTGGTTGTAATGCTGTTCTATCCTACATTACAATTTTTGTGCAGGATTTCTGTGTGTCGCTTGCAATACACCTGCAAAGTGTGTATTGGTTGGATGGGGCCTCTCCAGATATGCAAAGGAGATACACATTGTGTTACAACTCTGATACAGACCTAGTTACTAATGATACTATTTAATGTATCTTGTCACATACAGAACAACATTGCACATGACAGCACCCCCCCTTTAATACAATACAAAGCAGAGGGTCATGGCGGCGCCGTGTTTATTGACCTGATGAGGTGATCCGCAGTGTTCGCTTTGAAACACATGCCACGCAGAAGCTGCTTCACTAATTAACACGTTTCTGGCTCTTGGTAGAGGTGGCAGACGGTTCGGTGTAAAGTGTCACACTGCCTCATATATGGAAATGTATAGGTGCGCTAACAGGGCGCTAAGCCGGTGAGAGGACAGATGTAGGGATTGTGGACTCAATTAGACCCGGTGGCTAATTCCATAATGACTCATCTATGGCGCACTTCAGCCTTTGTTGATCAACATGATGTATGTTAATCCAAAACTCAGGCATGCGCAGAATCCATAACAAAAACAAATTCTGTGCTGGGGATTAACGACGACGCAAAGTGAAGGAAACAAACACGGCATTTGATACCAAGAACGGGTTGATCCGGGAGATATCCACCATAATGGCTTCTATTTGTGGATTAAAGGGGGGTTTTAGCTCTCCCCAGCTTTATGTCTGCATCTGTGTCAAGGTGTTATCATAGTTATTCATGCAGACACACGTGCAAAATGTGGTGGTAAATTTGGCAGTTATTTGCATCAAGTGACTAACATCTATCTCGATTATTCAAAAACAAAACTACTCTGCGAAACAAAATGTAGATCTGAAAGGAATACATACAAAACCATCAGTCTCAAATTAGAGAATTCAAAAGGCTTAATAATGCACCCACTACAACGAACCAACAAGACTCACTGGTGTGTTTTGAGAGAATATAAAACCCCGTTTCAGCGTTAAAACCGCGCGCACACCCACGCATGTCATATTAAAACAGAAAGCGAGCGGTGAATCAGACTCGCACAACCTGCATAAAAACCAGTCACACAAACTTCATCTTGATTTTCTCGTGTCGGTGTGGAGGACGGGATTTCTTAATCCCTTCTGCAAAGCACTGTTGGCATCACTTAATGGGAGGAGCTGATTTCCTTAAGCATTACCAATCCTTTCAGAAGCTGTTTAAGTTGTCATTGGTGGCATAATGAGAGCAACAATAAGGATCTAATCAGCATGCTGAATAAGCAGTCGTGACTGGCAGCACTATGGGCACCGGGTGAAGATTTCTGAGACTCTTGTTTTTAGAGGCAGCCTTGGTTTGGTGAGGTGGTTAATTAACTTGAGAATAGGATGCCACTCTTGACTGGTCATATGTTTCTTCTTCTCCTGTTGATGCTGAACATCTGGTTTAATGTTGCTTTACTGCCCTCTACTGCCAGTTTTTTTTGTCCTCACGGTATCGGCAACCCTTGATATCGTGAGCTAAAGCATCTCTTCAAAGAACAAAGTTCTAGATTAAACATGTCTCACAGAGGGGAGAGACAAGTGTGAAGACACCCTACTTTATTAAAGCAGGATGGAAATAGGTTCTATCTCCAGTGCTGCTGAGTCACCTTTGGGAAGGAAGGAAGGGCTGGGAATGGAAAACGCGTACAGTACAGAAACGCATACGCAGCTGTTGTGTTGAGACTCGGGACGAAACCTCTCAACTAACAGCGCTCCTCTTAGTTAGCGTCCCATACTGAACACACAAACCGTTATGGGAGGGATGACGGCGTGACGCCGCCGCCAGAGTCTCACCTTAGCTCCGGGTCGTCACTGTGAATGGTGACCGTCTGAGGGACGTTGAAGGGATTTTTAAGGACAAACTCCATGTACTCAGCGGCGCCCAGGCCGGCGTAGAGCAGGTGCTGGGTGGTTATGGACCGGCTCAGCATGTTGCCGATTGCCTCCGCCTCGCTGTGCTTCCCGCTGGGTTTGATCTGATGAGGTTCTCTGGCAAACCGGGCTTCCGTAGTCCGATCCTAACAGCCAAGGACAGTGGCAAATGTTTAGCGCAGTCCAACACCAGGACATTCTGTAAAATATGGAAATTGATTACCCAAACCTCCCACTGTACATCAGCACTGTTTATAGAGCAAAGACCTGGTGTCATATTGATTGTCATTTGAACCCGCAACATTTCAGGTTGGTGGTATTTAAAGCCGTAGAATGGCTACATGACCGATACCGCCGTAGTTCCAATGCGATAACATGTTAGGGTTGAATTCTGATGCGGTTTGAATGAGTACTCAGCCAGCTGAATGTTACTTTCCTTTGTGTTGAAATGACCTTTTCAAAACCTTTAAAGACTAATAGATTTTACAATGGCCGGTAGAAAGAAATTCCACATATTGACAATTTCCATCACCCGCTGAGCAGAGTTTATTATTAAATTATGACATGGAAATATATACAGTGTTGTTTGCTTTGTTCAAACCCTTTAATATAAAAGGTTGCAATAAACACCAGGGATCCTATCCAGTAGGTACAGTTATCTAAAAGAAAAATGTACAACCTTAAATTGAGTTTCAAAGTCAGGTTTGTTAACACTGAGGTTCCACACCGGTCTACGGGGCGGTAGAATTATGCCGGGGATAAACCCGGACCAAATTAGGCTGTGGCCATCAGGCAGAAAGGTATAATCCAAATTGGAAAGCCACTCTTAAATCTTGTTCCTGTGCAAGCGGGACTCAGGAATACTTCCCACAGCATTGCCAGTGTGGCGGGCGCCTTACCACAGGAAACGCAATGTGTAAAATGTCTCAGGCAGACATTCACCACAGTCAAAATCACATTTAGCGTGTGCACCCATGGGTGAAGGAACAAGATGTGCCTTCGGGTAGAAGAACAATTAACACCTTCTTATACAGTCACTAAAACACAGAGGGCAGAAGGGCACAGCGCCACGAGAATTGTAACACGGGCGGGGAGACGCTCCACGCCGCTGTGAGAGCTCCCTCGTGGCATCTTACGGCGCCAGAAGGAGAGCCCTTCCTCCGCCTCGCTTGTCCCTTTTTTTGGAGATTTAAGTGAAAGCGGCACACGGGGTGGGGGGGAGTGGCTATTTTCGTCCCGCCATTGGCGCCAGTGCGACGTTTGACCTCACCGTGACCTTCGGTTCGTCCGTGCCCTCCCGCCGACGCACTGCGGCCATGCAGTCGAGCTTGCGGCGCCGGCCGTCGGGCCCGTTTAGGTTGGGCTGCGCCTCCATCTCCGGTCCGGGTGCCTGTGCGGCGTTCCTCCCTGTGAGGGACAAACAGACCGTAATCATGAATCCACTTAAAGTGGAATCTAATCCTTTTACCGTTTTGGACCATATGTCCTGAAAAAACCCTCCAAACGTCCGCGGGAGAGAGACGCTGACGGATTAAAGTATTGTTGGAGCACAAGAAACAACAGCTTGAAAACAAACATTCGAACCAACTGGGCCGGAGCCCCAATGCCGGGTAAACACACTCCCTCCTCCTCCCCAATTATCTTTTGTCTCCATGGCAATTTACCTTTTTACGAGCACCAATGTGCCGTATTAAAACAGCTGAATCATTTACAGCACCAAATAATCCATCCTCATTTGAACTGGATCATGCAAATCACCCTTGTACTTTATACGCTGTGACAAGAGAATTTGTCTAATCCGGTAGTTTGAACAACAGTCACAGCTGCCTGTATTTTTTGTGATCTAAAAAAACGATTTCTCTGGAGTAGGTTTGTGAAGGATGCGGGAAGAGAAACTGACTCATTCAAATGTGTCTGTTGAATTTTCAAGCACCAAATGCTGATATCCGATGATCACACGGATGTCTTTGTATGGCTGCTGGGTTTAGAACTTTAGCCAAATGAAAAAAAAAGTTTTAGAAAAATATGTATATTCTCAAAAGGTAAGACATAACTTTCTGAGGTATCTCATAGCCGCTAGTAAACTCTTCTGGTCGAGCAGTTTAGCAGATGCAGAGCGGAGAGTGCGGGTCGGGATGTCGGGTTTCACCATGTCCTGGGTGTAAGCTGGACCCGAGCCATTCACAGCATGGACCATGGTACGTGAGCGCCAGTGTTTAGAACTGGATGCGGGCAGCCACCGAAGGGAGCAGTGTGGGAAGGCCTCAGTTTGTTAGAGAGCATTACTGAAGAGCATCATGACGACGAAGGAGCTCACCAAACAGCTCAGGGATAAAGCTGTAGCCAAATATCAATCTCAAGCTTTTGACCTTTCACAGATAAACCATAAAATCCATCGTGAAAAAATGGAATGAATATGGCACAACCACACGTCTACCAAGAGAAGGTGACCCACCCAAACTGACAAGCCAGAAAAGTTGAAGATTAATCAGAGAAGCAACCCAGAGGACCATGTTAACTCTGGAGGAGCTGCAAAGATCCACAGCTGAGCTGAGCGAATCTGTCTACAGGACAACGATTAGCCGTTTACTCCACGAAGCTGCCCTTTATGGAAGAGTGACAAGGAGAAAGTAAACCAGTTTTCCCACAAGCCGTGTGGGAGGAGACGCTCTGGTCAGATGAGACCAAAATTGAGCTTTTTGGCCTCAATGCAAAATGCTGTGTGGAGAAAACACAACACCGCCCCTCACCCTGAGCACACCGAGCAACATGGAGGTAACATCAAGCTTCTCTCTCACAGGGAAACTAGTGGATGGAGCCAAAATACAGAGCAATGAAAAAGCAAGAAAATGTGATGCAGTCTGCAAAAGACTCGAGAGTGGGACGGGGGTTCAACTCCCAGCCGGACAACGACCCTTAACATACAGCCAGAGCTACGACTGAATGGTTTAGACCAAATCATGATCATGATCATGCCCAGACCTCAATCAAATTAAGAATCTATAGCAATATTTCACAATTGCTGTTCACAGACTGTCTCCATCCAATCTGACAGGGCATCGGCTTTTTTGCCAAGATGAATGAACATTTCCATCTCTCGATGTGCAAAGCAAGCTGGTGGAGACATGCAGCTGGAAATGCAGCGAAGTTTTGACTTAGGAGGGTGAATAATTATGCACCCACGTTTTTGTTTGAGTGTCCAAAATACCTTTTTTATTGCATGTTATGTTGATCAAACGGGGGGAAAAAGTTAATTCAAGACTATTTAAATTCTAGTTTGTACCGGTACAAAATGGAAAAAAGGTCCAAGGGGGTGAATGCCTATTCAAGACGCTGTACATGCAATGGAAATACTTTCCCCTACACATCAATAGGGGAAAGAAATTCCACATAAATTCTTTATTTATTTTTTCCTTCTCAAGAATCACTTTTTATCTCTGCGCATTTTTCCCCGAGTGTCCTTATCGGCGAGGCACTGGGTCGACTGCCTGTCACCTCAGCAGATAGTGTCTGGCCACAGCGCTTCCTTCAGAGCCACAGGCAGGAGCAGGACAGATCACAGCGCACAGCTTCAGCGTGGCTAACTGTAGCGACTGTACTCCAGTGGAGGCAATTAGGCCCGTTGTATGTTTAAATGTCACAGGAAGGTGGAGTGGAAGGAGCCAGGAGTGCAGCGCGTAGAGCAGAGGTGGCGGCGGTGTTGGAGGAGGAGAGAGGTAAGCAACAAACAAAGAGCGCCGGTGAACTGACCGTGTTCGCACATCAAAACCAGCTGTGAATGAACTTCTTCGTCAGAGTGGGATTTATTCTTCAGCGGCCGGACTCATTTTAAATTATTATAAGCAATTACTTGTTTGCAACTCTTCTTGATGCCTCTTACAGTGTGTGTTAGTGTCTCTGCACACTTTAAAGGACTGCACACCGGTTGAAGGCTTGTCTAATTGAGGAAAGAATTGGCCATCCGGTGTGTGTGTGTGTGTGTGTGTGTGTGTGTGTGTGTGTGTTCCTCTGTGCGAGCACATGCAAGCACAGAAAATTCAAACAGCACTGTGGCTAGCCACCAGAGATGCTTCTGCAAGCTCAATTAGGCTGAAAATTGAGTGCTTCAGTGGTGCAGCCAAGAGACAGAATGTGAAATGGATCCGGTAGAGTTGATGAAAGCGGCAGCGTGGTCACCGCCCAAATGAAGGACGTTAATTGCTCCGTGGCGTAGATTACACGCGCACACACACACACGTGTGCTTACTCATACACTGAGTGCAGAAAAACATAAACGGCAGAGTCAATGAACGTGAAGTTAACCGAAATGTTGGTACATTAACAGTGACAGGATTCAGTGGGCTGTGGATTAAAGTGCTTGCCATTGAGTTGGAGGGTGTTTCTGGAGGACAGGCTTCCTCCTCTGAATCCAACACTCCCTCCGCGAGGAGTTATGATGTTAAGATGAGATGCCATCACGTCTGTGGCCCTCCTGCTGCTAGGATCTACTGGGCACCCTGTGGAAGTGAAACAAAGTGTTTAGTTTGCCATCTAGCATCTGATTACACCTACACTTAAAGCATAAAAACTCATAAAAACTTGTTTGAAGCCATTCGTGAGCCCATTAAGAGGCTCACAAAAAATAAATAGCTGCCGTGGGTTTGTATTTGTGCCACCCGAATGCAATGGGTGTTACTTTTTCTCTCCATGTTTGAAAGTGTAGTTTCCGTCATTATATTTGATTTAACAAATGCATTTCTTCAATGGACTACATTTGCCATCAACAATGATTGGACATTCACGTGAAAAGGGACGTTTTTTTCCTTTCAAGCTAACTATACTCCTACATGCAACATTTTGACGTTCTTTTGATAAAATCCCAGTTCATAATTCAAATATTTAGTACCAAAGACAGAAGCTGGTCAGTCTACGTGGATCTTTTGTTTCATAACACGCTCTTCCTCCCTATCTAGATCATTCTGGAGCGCAGCCCAGGAGGCCAGAGGGTATTTGATGGCACATATACAGTATGTGCAGGTCTACACGAACGGTTCCAGCGTTCACTTTCCTTCTTGATAAGTGGGCAGGTTGGCCTTGGACTGCAGGTGTTTATATTTAAGGTGCTTTGGTTTGATATTGATTTATTTTAAGATGCGCCGTTTGCCAAAAAGTGAAAGAAGACCGCGTTCAGTCTAGAATGAGGATTAAGAGCTTTGCCTGGAGGTTGTCCTCATTCTCAATCAGTATCAGGATCATAACTGATAGAAGCAACTTCATCTCTGTAGCGCTAGATTTGATTCATTCAATTTTGAAAGCATATCCACGTAACTCCAGTGGCTTGAGACTGTGATCTGAAGCCAAAAGTTTGCTTTGAAGTCACATGTGAAACCATACATTTTCATTGTAGACGATGCCAAAGTGAACGCAGTCCAGGTTTAAACCCTGGCTTAGAACACTCAGGGCAGGATCAATACATGAAGACAGGCCTACAGTGATTAATTAGTGGCCTGAAATTGCCCGGGGTCTGGACACCAAATCCTTGCGGCCCTGCAAGTGTCATGCTGATTGATGGTGAATGGTCGACCTCTGTCCGGTTTGCTTCTTGGTGCTCGCTGCCGGAGATGCAGTAAGACGTTAAATATATCCAGCATTCTGATTTCTTTAAGCATCTGTAATGACAGCAAACTTAATGTGCCATTGTATAAATCACCAGGCTGATTGTTTGGGATATTACTGCAAAACCAGACTCTTGTATGTCTCCCTTTATGCTCATGATGGCTCTTTTTAAGGCAAGTGGATAAGTACGCACTCCAGGGTGCTCTTGGACAAAGACAGTAATTGATGGTCAATACCAAGGCTTCCTTGTGTTTTTCAACTGCGCTATAAGCACAAAACGTGTATGAGATAATTGCTCGCAGTCACACAACACGAATCGTGCAGCAATGTACCTTCTTCACTTTGAATTAGCACATTGCAAAATGATTTTTGGCTGCAATTTAAAGGCCAACAAATGCAATCTGTTTGATACAATTCAAAACACTTGAATGAAGAAGTAATTAAAAGTAACTTTTTAAATCACTACACTCTGACATGATGATACCATTATTCCCATCAGCTTACAAGTATTGTAACACAACTTTCTCAATTGAGGTGCTTAATTGTGGTGTAAGAAGTCCCTGAGAGGCTCCGGGATACCTCTCGTATGAGACATACTGAGTGCAGCAGTTAAGTGGCTTTTCCGCCCAGAACTCGCACCTCTGAGCATGCAGGAGTTTTTGAAGGGGAGCCACAAGTACCATCCAGATCTTTTTAGAGGCAAACTCCTGTCATCAGCAAACTGATAATGGGCGGCAGCTAAATGAGTAATGGGGAGGCGGTGTTGCCATGCAAACAGACACAGACAGCACAGTCCTGCAGATTAATGGGTGAGGTGTCTGCCGTCTCAGTCCATTCCCCTCTGCATCCATCACCCTCCCCTGGCCACACAACTCGGCACAATGCATTTGTTTGAGTTATATTTTCCAAATATTACTTCTGCTGTCAAATAAATATCTAAAATCAATGCCAAAGCCACCGAGAGCCCACGCCTGGCGGCTCATTACGGACCTTTTAGCGTGCGTTTCTTATGTGTCAAGGAAAGGCTTTGATGATGGACAGAATTGTACAAAGGGCGAGAAAGGACGCGATAAGATGAACGCCGGGTGCTCCTTGCTTACAATGAAACAAATGGCCCGATAATGAACCCAATTATGGAGCAGTGATTGTATCAGTCAATCATTTTAATTAATGGGCTATCACTAGAACCATCTTAAGGCTCATCAGATAACGCCTTCTTTAGCGCTAATCCAGGTTGATGTGCGCGTCTTGGTCTCGGTCACATTATCCGTCCCTAACTGCTGAATCACGCCGGCCGATTGTTGAGACGCAGCTGATGATCCGCATGGCTGGAAACGAAAGCTGATCCTCCCGGTTTGTGTTGCGTAGAGGAAGCACAGCACCGTCGAGGCTGCCTCTGTGGAGTTGAGTAATTGTAAAAGTGCCAGGGGGCTAAACTCTATCAAATTTATTGACTTCCTCCTCTCTGTTGCATGACAATAACCCTACTCGGCACTACCCCACCTGCTTGTCCTCTTTGCTCTGCCGGCGGTTCTCGAGGTTAAGCCCACAACAAACCACTGATTTACTGGCCTCAAGAACAAACGGGAGCAAGCACCAAGGGGGTTTCAAAGTAGTGTGCAATATTCGATTTATTCTGCCTCCCCGTTCCAGGCCACTGACCTTTCAAAATAAGCAGATTCCCTCTCACCTCAGGGCTAAAAGCAAGGTTGATAAAGTGGGGCCTTAGTGCGCCAGCAGCAAGAGCTTTTAATAAGACAGTATCTGCCCCCCTTGGGGGAAGTCACCCAGCTAAACTAATTGTCAGGTAAATTTCACTGATATTTAGTTCCACTGGTGGCAGCTTTAGGTAGGGAACCCTCTCCTCTATCCCGCTGCAACAGTCCCTCTCCACAGGGCTTATCAGGACACTGCAGATGAGCAGCACCGCGCGATCTGCAGAAGGTGCTAATCTGTCTTCTCTACTCTGCTGAAGCAGATACGCGTGCGTGTGTGTGTGTGTGTGTGTGTGTGTGTGTGTGTGTGTGTGCAGCAAAAAGGACAGCAAGAGCCAGTGAGAGATGGAGAAACGATACAGACACAGCTCAGTCAGCAAAATGATTTCATATCAATAGGCCTTTTCCTCTGCTGATACATGTAACCTGTTTAAAAAATTGGACGTTACTTTCAGCTAATATTAACTAAAATTAATTAACACTATCCATTGTTAGTCAATGCTACAGTAGATTATCTGAATTGTTAACGGTCTAACTTTTTTAAAGTTTTCAGCCAAATTTGTTCAATGAAAGCGAATCTAATCAATATAATGGATCAAATGATGTGAATGGGGCCGCTCATAGTGATGCTCCATGTCGACTGGATGTGACAAGATGATGATGATATCAAATAGTATTGCTTCATGATTTCATCAATTTCTGAATGTATCAAATAAAGATGATTATATTTAGCTGTCCCTACTAAAATGTGTTGGAAAGCAGACGTTCAAGTACAGCTCATCGAGCATCCGTTGGTTTTCGTCTTTACCTTTTTATTTGTACCATTCAGAGAAAATCCAATTGCATTTACTTGCATCTTTTCAAAAACCAAATAAAAAAAACACGCACACATAAATTCGCTTTGTGACCAGTCTAAAGACGCCAGAAATGACTAAATAGTAACAAGGGAAGAAATTTGTCAATACACAGCTCACTTTTTAATAAAATCAAAGAGGCCAAACAATATTGCCATTCTCCGGTAGCACTGCTTGCTAGAGAAGGGTTATGTAGACACAACTGAATGCACACACCCACAGAACAAGCGTGTCGTACTGTGTGCATTGCTTTTGAGTTGAGTCTATACCCCTTCGACTTGGTTTCTCACGTACAATCCTCAGATCCTTCCCTTTACTTCTATCCATCTGCCATCGATCTTAGTCTGAGAAAGATCATATGATAAAACAGGCCATCAATTAATCCTCAGTATCAGTCTGTGGAAAAGCTGTGGGTTCTAAATCATAATGACAACATGGATTAAAAAGATTACACACTGTTTATTTACTATCTTTAGGACAAAGTTTTTCGCACATAGAGACGATTCTCCCTTGACTCTGCAGACTTAGTACAAACTTTTTAAATGTTTTTAGGTTGAAAATGTCTCTTGAATGAATCTCTTCCCCAGCCATCTTTATTTTTTCCACTCAGAGTCCATGTGGCTTTAGCAGATGAAACGGACAACGCCTTGTAGCTTTCCCCCTGGATTCACCAGTTTCATGAGATGAGCAGGCGGCCGTCATGCTTTACAGCCGCATCATCTGCTCCTGCACTGTACTCTGTGTGGGACCTGCTTGCAATCCGCCACATTTTCACAACTTTCTTACCCTGATTAAGCCACTTTCTATACTACTACTATCTAATTTACCGTCTAATTAGTTACTTGTCGATCTCACCTTGTGATGATTAAAAAAGGATATCATTCGGCGTTTCACTCTTCATTTGGAAATAAAAGTCTGGCACTCATTTTTTTCCAATGAAGCCAGATTTTTCGCAATTCCCCAACGGGGCGAAGTAAAGAAACGATTAGAAATGGCAGAGTGCAGTATGTAGCCAGGACAGCATGCTTGTGAATTAGAACTGAGTAGATAAATGGGTATAAGGGAATATTCCCCGTGAGTCACCATAATACGTAGTCTGAGCACAAAAATGTTAAATTTCATAGTAGCTCGACGGAAAAAAACACCAAGTATAGTGAACAACAATTCTACATAGGTGATGCCTGCACCATGGTGTACTGTAGGGAGTAGTGCTGCCAAATTGTACAGCGTGCCAACATTTTGTAAATTTCAATCAAAATCAAGCAGCATTAGGAATAAATGCAGAGAAAACCAATGATTGACTGAAATGTAATATAAATAGGGTTGGCATATCAAGACAACACTATAAACTAGTCAATATCGTTAAGTATATTTAGATCGACGTTATTTTAAATAACGTTCACAGGAGATTTTAGCCCCGGTGAGGAAAAAGCTTTCACTGCTTTAGTGTCCTGTTTTTCTTTTCTCTCACATTCCGTGTCGTCAACCATTCGACAACCTCCCCTCACCTCTTAAGCTAAAATCCAGAGGCTTTATCTGCTAAACCGTCACCACAGAAACATCGCCTGCTATTCTGCTTGGCCAGAATGCATTTCATCCAGTGGGGTTAGTAGTTTTTTTTTGTAAAAGGAGCCATGTAATCCTTGTGAGAACCCTGTAACTCCAATATTTGTGATTTCCAAGTTCAATACGTGATGTCAGTGATGTACTCTACCTGCCTGCCGCCCTGAATCATCACACAACCCGTCCACGCTCTGCTGCACCTGTCTGTCTGCATGTCCGTGTGTAAGCATGAGCGCGTACCTTCTTGGCACGTTTGAGTGATTTGATATGCACACACGCGAGTGTGTCTGTGTGTGTGTGTGTGTGCAGCTCATAATAAATCTTTGTCAAACTTGTCCCACAGCAAATCCATCAGTCATATTTTTAGTAACTTCTGATGATCAAGCCCCCCCCGTTAATGACAGAGCTTTACAGCCATTACCACCCACGAAATGAGGGCGCTTATTTATTACAGCTTGATGACAGGCAAGAGGAGAAAACGCATCTCCACAGAGAGGCAGGAAGACAGCGCGTGTGATACAAGGGCAAAGGGTAAATGGATGAATGGGACAAAACGGGAAGACAGCGATAAAGAGCGAAGAGAAAAAAAGTGAGAAAGGCAGGGACAGATGGAGCCAGTGAAACAAAAGAAAAGTGCTTGCAAGTCCTCCCTCCGTGGATGGATTCCGACTGTCGGCCGAGGCGCCTGATGGATATCTGAGTCGTGATTGGAATTTACATGCCAGACACGGACTTGCTCCTCCCATCGGGAAATATCCCGATGTGCTCTCAACCTGCCTTGAGTGATAAGTGCCGGCATATTTAGCACCCAACAATGGCACTTGGCAGATTTTTTTCTGAGCCCCCCCCCAGAATGCTGCATTGTTTATGAGGGGGAGTAGCGTTTCAACAGTTGATTAACGGCGTGGACGCTATCGTCAGCTGCCATCGCGCGGCGGGGGGCACGTCGGGCCCAAATTGGATGAGTGCGAGGGGAGAGGAAAGGTGCGCAGTTGCTAGACGGAGTGGAACTATCACATCAAGATATTCCGCTTTGGCACAATGTTTGCTTTGCAAGCCTGCACACATCCAGGGAACGGAGGAAAGGAAACTTTCAACAGCGGCAGCGGCCCTGGGGATTTGCTGTCATTTCCCAACTGTAAACGTAAACAGACGACGTACACTCAAAGACTTATAATCCAAGGCTCCGAATGGATATATAACCAGAATATAAAACAAACATGTCATAGGTAGTAGGAGGTTTGGGTGATATTGAAATTGGATTTTATTGAAAATAAATACAGATTTACAGTGTTTTGAGAATGCGAATTCGCTATTCGCAGCAGCCCTCATCCGATATATTCACTCTACTTTCTCTTCTGTGCCCAAAAGGGGACGGTGCTCCATTTGTTTTTGTTTTTAGATTTCAAGTTTCTCGACAGGATTTTATGCTATTGGTAATACAAAGACTGCTGTCAGATGAATTCCTAACACACACACATTATTCAATTCTCCATCAATGTGCCTTTACCACAAAGAATCTTGTGCTCATTCATCAGACACTACTATTGTATCAAGGTAAACAATGTCAAATTGGTTCTCACCAAATCTGCGTCCCTGAACAATCTGGACTTTGCAATCAGCACAATCAGGGAAAGCAGATCATTGATAATGTTTAAAGGATGTACATCATGACGGTTCCTGTATTTACTTTCTTTGAGATTTCCAGTAAGATCCATGTGTGTGATATTCTATGCTGACGTTAGTCATGGGCATGTCAGCACTTCAACAATCCAAAAAGAAAAGTCTTGCAGTACTTGCCTATGTTGCCTGTGCGTATGTGCAGCCGGCCCCGGATGATGGTGTGCACCGACATGGGCGTGCGAGCAGGACGTAGGCCCACATCTGTGCTGGTCAGCAGGGTGTCGTCTCCCAAGTAATCAGTGGTCAGCACCTCCACCTCGTGAAGGGCCTGCACCGCTGATTTACCTTGACGCAACATGTACTGGGGATGCGAAGAAGGGCGTGAGAATAGTAACTGGGTATAATTTATTCACAAGCATGCGTTAAACACAAATGTGCTGATTAAGACAGGAGGGGGTGGGGCATGATTAAATGGAAACGGACAAAAAAAGCACATTACACGCCAGGAGTGGGAGTTTGAGTTATTGCTAAATGAATAATGTCAAAGCTGTTAAGCCCGGTGGTAAACGACTCCTTTACTTTTTTCTCATTAAACACTTTACAAACTTCCCCAAGTTGAAAAACAAATCAATTCCACATCAAGGTCGGCAAGAGAGTTTCTGTCCAATCAATCAATGAATAGCAGGGTGGTGGAAAAGTAAAAATTAAAACTCCTTTAATGTGTAATTTGCTTCGGTCAAATCCTTTAACACAAAGGGAAGATGACAAAAAACTGATGGTTGAACAGCCACGGCTCATGAATCAAGTTTGTTTACAATATGATGAATGTTTCAGTATTTGACATTCTATTATCAGAAGCTGTTTTCTCTGCAACGCCCGGTTCCCTGCAGATGCTGCATGAATCTACGACGGACGCACGAGCGTTACGATGCGTCACGATAGGACACACACGTGTAAACAGATGGCGCAGTGAACGCTGTCGCTGGGAGTTAATTTAATTTTATTCCGACAAATAATCCCTTTTGATGCTGCTACATTTGTGTCCTATGTGGACCTCCAGTCTTTTACCTTGAGCTCGACGGCAGTAGAACCTATGAGGAGCAACGAGTCGCTGTCCCAGACGTCGATGTGCATGGTGTGGAGGGCCAGGTAGCGCAGGAACCAGCGCCTCTCTCCGGGCTTCAGGGAGTCTACTCTGAACTGCACCTGCAGGCCCGGGGAGGCTTAGAGAGGGAGGAGGGGGGAGAGGAGGGGGGGGGGTACTTTAGCATGGAGTGGAAAACATTGTACCCTGTTCAAAAATGAATGATGATCTGTTTGGCACGATAAGGAATGAGGACATCGTCTTCTTACATAGCTACAAGCGCTAAAAATAGTGAGAGAGAAAGGAACGGTGCAGCTGTATTGGTTGTTTAACAATAGCAGCTCATATTTAGCACATCTTTTTCTATTGTCAAAAAAAAAAAAACTAAAACATTTAGCTAGCTGCTCTTGGTAACCCTACCAAGCAAGTCAACTGAAAATAACATAAGCAGGACGAATAAGTCCCTGCTGAGCGAGGTTGGTTGGAGCAACAATCAAAGTCTAAACTTGTGAATGTAGAAGTGAAGCAGTTAGCGGATTAATCCTTTGATCAACAGAAAAGAAACTGCTGACTACTCTAATAAACAGTTTGTTGTTTAAGTCATTTAAAATCGACTGTGTTACAAACGTTTGTATCCGACAATCCCAGAGGAAGTCACCATTTCGATGATTACGTGAGGCTTTCGCTTCGGTCCAGAAGGCTTTGAATATGGAGGCAAAGCCGTGAGATCGGCTCCCAGCTGTCAACCTTGTGGACACAACTGAACGGGTGCAGCAGCCATCGACTGGGAGTCATTAGGTCTGGTGATTGTGCTTGATGGGAGTACAATAACCAGGGAGTATAGGCCAATCACAAAATAAGAAGCACCCTAGGGTTCCCATATTTCAAGATGATAATGGTGCCTAACGCGCACAGAGAACCTTGAGAGTCATTTCATGAACAGCGAGCTAAACTCGGGGCATTAATCAGCACATCCACCGCGGATGTCCCACTCCATCACTTGTTTTTTATTATTTAAATATTATACACAGTTGTAGGAGTACATCTATTCTAAAGATAATGGCTATGGTATAAATAGTAAGCCAATTGTTATTTTGTTCACTCCAGCAAAAATGTGCAACCAGCATGTGATTCTCTCAGGACCAATCAGTGACGCACCGACCCGGAATCAGACTCATCCTCTGACTCTGAGCAGCCAAAACAGAAGTGACCTCACCACCACCACCACCACCACCGAGCCAACTCGGCGGGTGAGCGGGTACAATCGGTCAGCCGCGACCCAAAACCCAACGTGGGTCGTAGTAGAGGTCCCTTGCTCGTTCATAACTTCAGTTTGTTACGGCAGGTGGTGCTGTGTCAGTGTGTGTGACTTTTAATTCATATTTATTTAAAATCATCATGTCATGTACGATAGTGATGTTCTATCCTACGTACTTGGTTTAAGGTTTAAAAGCCAGCAAAACAGCATCATGAGAAACTAAAACGCTGCAGATTGGTTTGGTTGTGCTGCAGCTCTTCATATTGACTTTAAGGTAACCTCAGGTTTCACAGCCGCGTAAGATCCACCCACAAGGGAAAGTTTTTCTACTTATCAGATATTTAAAATGAAAAAGAAAGAAAAACTGTCTACGGGAACCTCCACCTCCAGACAGGCTATGACTGATTTTGTTTGACAATATTCAAGAAAAAGATAAAGGGAAGACAAACAAAGACCAAAGCGGCCTATTTATACACACTATTTCTGTGCCGCTTTTCCCTTTGCCTAACCCACAGTGACTCCCTCACCTCCCCCTTATCCCAGCGACGCTCTCCACTTGCAACATTAATTCTCCCAGCATGCTCTTGGCTTATACGCAGTGGATGGGTGGCAATGAGAGCACCGGGGGAGAATGGGTGAAAGAGGGTGTGCTTTGTGCTGACAGATCTGGCCCAAGGGTTGTGTGTGTGTGTGTGTCTTTTTTGGTGTGCAGCTTGGTCTGAAGACGAGGAGCAGCACACAGCCCCCCCCCCCCCCCCCGCGCGCCCCCCACCGTGGATAGTGTGCCTGGTGTGCACGCAGCAGTGAAGGCACATTGAAAACCCTGCTGGGGATCAACAACTCTGTGAAGGCTGGAGGCAAAAAAAATGTGAGGATGAACTGAGCGTGGAGCCAGATGGAGAGGCTGACGCAAACCAGAGCATCCCGCTAGAATACGGATCCCTTAAAAAAACAACAACGTGATGGCACTCTGAGGTTTGCCACTGCAATGCTAGAGATTTGATGCAATTTTTTTGTCTTGTTTTTAAACAGCAATGTGTGCCTCATACTGCTGGAATGATAACTAGTGGCAGAATACATCAGCTGATTAATCTCTCATTAAACAGGAATCCTGTCAAACTATATTAGCCAACGTAGAATTGGTTAACTATATGCATTTAAAAGGAGAACGGCGTACATGATACTGAGGTCCCATTTTTGTAATTTCAGGTTGTAGCAAGCATATTGCAAATTAAGTAATCATTTTTGTAAAAATGACTTTCTGACAAAACAAATTATTTCTAAAGGAGACAATGGCATTGTCATTTTACCTTGAATTATTTTAATTGTTACTACCTACAGTCTAAGCATTGCGATTGTTTGCACATAATCGTTAAACTTGGGCACCTATTGCCTGAAAGAGCACTTGCATCGCTGCGTGTGCTGACTTGAATGAGGTAAACAGCAGGATACCAAACTGGGTCTCACTTCAGTCTCTTTAGTGGCACACTGGGAGAGAATGTTATGGAGTGGAGGAGTCGATTGTCCTCCTGGTAACACAATGAGAGTCATACTGCTTTATCTGGAGCGCGGATACTAAGGAAATACAATATTATTCGGTTACTTTTCTGCCTCCACGAAGCAGCAGCTGGCAATCGCGCGTGATTGGGACCATAACATTGAAAATGAAGAAAATACAGCTTAACTAAATTGCCGGCTAATTACAAAAACAAAAGTTTTTAGCACTTTCTGTTAAGAGAGATTATTTCCTGACAAGTTCCTTATTTCCAGCCACATTTAGATTCAGACTGAAACACGGCAGCACCTTTTACATACGAGCTGTAACACTAACTTGATGCAATCTCTCAGACCTCAGTGGTGAACGGAGCGTGACATAAAAGGTCCAGAGCAGGGTTAAGGAATTGAACAGGAACTCCCACCCTGCAGCACACAGAATCAGAACCCCGAACGGCCGCAGCCCCTTTGAAGCCGAGACGTATTCCATATTCTCTCTGAAGCGCCGTCTCTCAACCTCACTCACACTGAAGGAGGAGGGAGCAGTCAGTGGATCGTTGATCTTGTACAACGTCGTATCGGTATAGATCTCTTTAACTGCAGTCGATAAATGTTCAATGTTTTACATAACATCCGTTTGTACGATTACAAAAGACTATAAAAACATTTCCTCCCCTTAATCAGTGTCTGTAAAATGCAGAGAGATGGTCAGAAGGTGTCCCGTCCCAAATTGTCAAAACAGTGAAGTGAAACCTGCACCTGTTAAAATGAATGAATGCCACAGGGTTGGACAGAAGTCTCATTTTGACACATTTTTATATGATAGGAAAACCGGGACTGCTGGGAAGGTCTTATTACTATAAAGTTCTACAGAACTGTACGTAAAGTCTTTTAAAGGATTTTCCCCAAAACGCAAAAAGCTAAAGCACTGCACATTTTCTTGTCCACTTGGAGACAGCGAAAACAATATAGACACATTATCTCCTTGTGAAGTTTTACTATGATTATTATTTAACTACTTAGCAGACGTCAAGTCTGTCCAATCATCGTGCTCTGGTTTTGCCAATACGCTGCTCATTAGCATCTTGATAACCAATTTCCTCCAGTAACTAATGACAAGCTGTTCTGGAACAATTATCATTAGTTCTATTGTTAATATAAAGATATTGATTAGTGACGCTTTTGAAGCACTTTAAATAGACCGCAAATCACAGTGAGTTGATTTTTTTGGTTAAGTAATCTCAGTGACAGTGATAACGAGGGAGCGATATATGGCATTCGGTGCATAAATATATCATCAAACAACTATTTTGCCGCATCCACCGACCCAGGTAGTGCAATGTGGAGAGCTGAAACACACATTTTACAACTTTGCAGCTGAACTAATTGATGTGGTCGAGACCTACTGGAAAAGTGTTCACCACAATGCACGCCACATTATGTCTGCTGACCCTGGCAGTGAGTCCTGTTTGTGCACCGATTTACTGGTGTGGCTTGTTAAGCGCGTTGACCCCACCATCCTTTAAATGCGTGTAGTTCAGCAGTTGTGAGTAAATAGGTGGAAGAGCTCTTTGGAATATACAGGAGGGATTCGTGGAAGTGTGAACTGGATGATATAGACTGCGAACGATGCACAGACGGAGACATATTGACTGAGTTGGACCGGAGTGTCTGCGTCTGGGGAATGGAGAATATGGCGTAGGAGGGAGGAGCGCATTGTTTGTGTGCTCGATATCACGCGCCGTCAAAAGCTGTAATATCTCTTCCATTTCATTAGTCGATACATGAATAGACTTGACAGCAACCAGCGGCCGTACGGCTGATGGAAAGAGAAGTGCCTCAGCATCAGAGAACATCACAGCGGTTTGTTGGCACAGATTGTTGTACACTGTTAATCTAGAACGCGGGAAAATAAACCACAGCCTGATTTACACCCAGAATCTGAACATTCTCAAACATGTCAGTATGCATTGAAAACCACTTGTCCACCGCTATCGAGTTCCATATCGTACTAATACAAATGAAAGTCAACGACTGGCAGCAGGGTAAGAAAATAAATACAAGTTCAAAAGTTATGTCTACCATAATTATTTTTTTAGAAAATACTGTTAATGTACCCACACTGTTGGGACAGAATGGTTTCATTCTGCATAAACATTTAGTGGATGAGATGCACAGGGGCAAATTCCATTCCAGTCAGCAGTGATTTTGCAGCAGTGGATCCTTACCAGAGTTGAAAGTGCCGTCTTTGTTGATGGAGGCCAGGACACAGGGAAGTGGACCAGCAGCTTGTTGTTGGACCTTGTCACTGGTCAGTAGTTTGAGCTGCTGGGATGTGACTGGTGGAAAGCGATAGAACTGGAAGGTGAAGTGGATGTTTTCAGGCCAATTGGCAGCAACACCTGCCGTTGGTATTCTGGCAAAAGACAGACGGTGCTTGATGATTATTCCGAAAAAAATGTGATATAAGAAATATATATATATATATATATATATATATATACAGATGATCTATGTGATATCCTGAATACATCAATTTTCCTCTCTCTGATAGTTCGTATTACAACGTGAATGGGGGGAGAAGAGTGGAATGCATATTAGAAAATTGATGGTTGAAAACGTCATTAAAAACCTGGAATGGTGAATCACTTTGGCTTTTGATCAGACAATTTCAATGTAGAAAAAAATAATGATATGCATGTCTCGCACGTCCTCCCAAAGCCCATAACTCACCTTTACAGCTACTTAAAAGTAAAAAAGCAATAATAGAACTTGAGGTGGTAAATCACACCTTTAGAATTGGCTCTAAATTAGACTGCTGATTGAGTGGGTACAAACTCTCTCTACTTTTGATTTATTACTGGTGGATGGCTCGGCTTCTTCTTTAAAACAAGGCCGCACGAAAACTATACGTTTTAGTCTCGTCTGTTATATATAAAAGCGGTTGTATACTGTTTACACAAAGGGAACTATTGGATGCAGTTTGTGTTTGCAAGGACTCCTATGAAGAGAATAAAAAAAATATCTGACTGAGCGAACCTCCTGGTGTTGTGTACTCCTTTTCACACAAACACCCCCCTCTGAGTGTGATTTCACACACACAAAGATCTAAACACACACTTTAAACTGCTGATGACCCACAAAAAGTCCCGGTGAGTCTGCAAGTGCTCGTTTCAGGATGAGGCTCCCTCTGTTTGCGTCTGATGAACAGATCAGTAATAATTCATGGGCTATTCAATAATGGGGGAGGAAAGAAAACACATTTGTAAACAAACTGGGAGTCCTGTGAGCCCCAACACACGTTCACTGAAGGGCCGTCAGAGCGTTGTATGAATTTAAAGTCACTCGCTGTGAAACTTTACTTAAAGAAGCCGCCGCGCTTCATCTTCACAAAGGAGCCGGCAATAATTTCAATTCTGTAAACGGACAATATTGATAATCATGGCACCCGGGTGAGAGCTGGAAATGACACGGCCTACGCGGAGGCTCCCCACTTGCTAGGAACCTCTTGTGCCGCCTCCTGAATATCCCTGCATGCCAAACCCGTTTGTCTTGATTATGAGGCAAACCCACAGAGATGCACACCTCGTGGTTCCAGGTTGCCCTCAGGTGGCCTTGGGAAAAATCAAATGAGCTTTGATATCGTCGCAGTAAACAAGTTAAAGTAAAAAGCCATACTTTTGGATATTAAAATAACCGCTTTGTCTCCAGCTGATAATATGAAAGTGTTTCAACGTACCCAAGGGGTGAATATTTGCTGTTGTAATCTTACAATATAAATAGGCTCTCACTACAAAACTTCCTAGCAAATAGCCCGCAGATAGAAGGTACTTTGATTGCCAGCATGTATACATTCAACGGGATGACGTGCTGAAGAAAGCCTGAAAAAAAGGGTATTACAACAACTGTGGTACAGTCTGTTAAAATGGAACCTGGAAGTCGTCTGACTAGTGTCACCGCATGCCCAAACCTCTTCATTTATCCGTTCACTTATGTGCACGATGTTAATAGTAAACTTGGATGGGCGAGCGGGGGGCTGCTTACACCAGCCACCACCTGTTTAACGCCATCTTTTAGCACACGGGAGGAGCAAAAACATTCTACTTCTATTTGTCCTGAAAACAAAGTAAATCTAGTGGCGCGTGGTACTGGGGAGAGCCTTCTGCACCACATGTCGGCACACAGGAAGTCATGGCAGCTTGACGAACAAGACGGATGAGAGTTGGGTTTATCGAACTGCTGACGGGGGCTGATGACAAGATAGAGGGACACAAAGAGCGGTGTGTTTTGTACCCATCCTTCAGCAGCCCCCCTCCTCTGTCAGCCCCTGACAGAGGGGACACTGGCTCCAGGGTTTCTGTGATGGGGCGCTGACAGAAGCGCAATTCCGCCCGTGTTGACGGGAAATGTGTTTATGTTCTTTTTCCTCAGAGCGCACGTCTGCTTGCTACAGCGTATGGATATGAAATGTGTGTAGAGGCGCCCGGTCTGGCTGAAGTATAATGAAAAAAGAAAGCAGGCACGGTGTAGTCGGGGATAAAGTAACTACTCTTCTATTCAGTAGAAGAGCACGTTTAGATGCAAACCAATGACTGAAATAACAACAATTCAGAAATTTCTGAAAACCTAATAATTATACTTGGACCAAATTGATGCAGATCTCCATGACAACCACAACGGCCTGCTTTCATCCAGTAGTAACACTGCAGCCTCATGCGCCTCACCTGTTAAACGCCAAAAACTGAAAGACCAGCAGGTTTCCCTGAAGAGGGTCCGACTCTTCGCGCTGAGGGTCAAAGGGCACCGGCTCTGTCGGGTCCAGGACTTCTGCCGCCTGCCCAGCAGAGTCCACGATGTCGGGGAAGCCCGCCGAGTAGAGGTGGGCCAGTGAACTTCTGGAGCCGACTGAGCTGGAACTGAGACGGGAGAAGTTAGGGGAGGGCTTCACAACCATGAGCGCACGTCGATCATTCGCCGGGCTAAAAAGGACTCCAGCAGGAGATAATGTGTTGAGCCCGAGATGCACCGGTCTCACTCGGTTGATCTGTAGTTGCAAATGAGGCAGAGAGAAATTATTTGGATGTGAGTCGTTTTATCATTTCAGAGCCAGATGAGCTCGGATCTGTTCCATTCTTACTCCAGATGCTTAACTTTTGGGAGATAAATTGAATATCCCGCCGGACTCGACAAAAGGTGCGGTGAAACTGAGGGTGTCAGTTATATCCGTCAAGCAGCGGCACCTCGAGTAACGCTGGCGCCAAAAGCGCTCCCTCAGGGTTTTCAAACATAATTGGCAGTTATCTCTAATCATAGTGGCCACCTGTTTTTCTGCAACTGTGGTAACATTCATAACTTTATATACTTTCGGGGCTGACACCCAGCGCTCTGGGTGTGATAAACACAGTGCCCAGATGGCTGGCTGAAGTGCAAGTGCAGGAGAATGAATGAGCATGTTTGGGAATGTGACGGCTGTAATGCTGCCTGAGTCAAGTTGGTAAGCAGCCAAGCTCCCGGCTTTGCATTTTGTGACATTATGACGCCTTGATCAAACTAATTAAGACGGCAACAGTGAAGATGACGGTCGATTGGGGTTTTTCCTCCGCGGGTTTGTCAATTTCATGCTTTCAAAGTTATATCTTAAATGAACCCAAGTTGATTAATATTGAAGCCATCTTTTTCAAAGGGAGTTCAATCAGATATGCGCGGCAGCTTCAATTAAACTTCCTTAGACTTTGTGGTTCTTCTCAAAGAAGTGGGTCATTCCACCCCGAACACAGTCAAAAATATGTTTTTGGCTCCTAGTGAAGCGGCAGCGATGCTTCAGCCCAATGAACTGAGCAGCATCGCGTCTGGATCCAAACTCTGGGATTGGGGAGCGGTTTCGTTGCCAGCTGCTTATTTACAGACACTGTGTGCAAACGCCAGGCCTTGTTTCGGAGTTACTATGCCCATTATTTTCAGGGTGCACTTTCTTATTCGGTGTCCCACCTCAACAGACCTGGCTGCCTTAAGACGTCCTCTCCAAATTAGCTGCAATGAGAACAGTGTTCTGTAACACCAAAGTCAAAACTTCTTCCTTACAGCTCGATTTAACAATGAATTTTCACACAAACAAACAGATTGCCGGGAACATTACCCAAAGTGGCATGTTGAGGCTGACAAAAGGATTCTTTTTAATTGGCTGTGAGCCGCATTCTCAGGCTTGCCATCAACAGCGCTGTACTTCCCGGTGAACACACGCTGCCAATTAGTGAGCCGATCGATATCCCGCTGCAGATAGCCGGTCAGTGAACCATTGTGGTGGTGACGGACTGTACTGGCGTTCACACAGAGATACCGGGCCAGATACAATCGTTGCATGCTTACAGCAGCCGCGAACAACGAGTAATACTCATGTTCCCCTCTCGTGCTGCCGTTTAGATCTTAGCTACAGCACTAACTGCAGTGAGCCCCATATGGATTCATCTGAAGGAGCCAAGAGGCCTCATCAAGCTTCAGATGTCAGGAATAAACTGGAGCGTCCTTGTCCCGCTAACGTGTTCAACACCAATTAAATTGCGATCCAGTGGATTTGTATCAAGGTGAAACATCATAAGCATGTTCTGTTTAACAGGGCTCTTTATTGATATTCATATCAAACAGCTGATGACCACCAACGTACATGAAGAAGTATTTCGCTCACTTCAGGGATGGTTTTGGGTTTCAGAGAGCAGAACTGTCGTCACACTGAATCTAGTTCAGCTCAACTTGATTGGGAAGCAAAGAGAATGAAAAAGTCCAGCATGTGATATAAAGGCTGACCGTGTAGTAAAAGGTTAATATGACCAAACAAAAGCAACTGCTTATTCATCTGTACATTTGGCTCCTTTATATGTCTTTCTGTTTCTTTTACTTTCCACCTCCTACTGTGGAAGTATCACTTAACGTTTTTAAGGTACCAGATACTTTCACGACAGCCTCAAGCAAAAACCTATTTGACTTTAGATGATTTCCAATGCCTGAAGAAGACCCCAGAGGAGGCTTACCTGGGCATGCTCACCCCCAGTGTGATGACAGGGGCATGGACGGGAGTGAAGGGCAGCTCCTGAAGTTGGTCTCCTTCGTCCTGAGCTGAAAGTGGCCCATCGCCTTCCCTGTGGAGGTCCATCTCCAGGTGGGCAATGTTGCCGACACCAGAGCAGGCCTGTGGCAAAGTGGGCCAATACATATACGGCGGGTGATTATAAAAACAGCCAAAGATAACGAAAAAAAAAAAAGGCCAGCAAAGCTATGGAGAAGGTGACTGCAGACTAGATCATTTTCACGGAGGAAAAGTGCAACAACATAAAACGACACTTATTGGCAGAAGGGAACAGGATTTCAGCCTGCAAGTCAGCATTCTTTCAATACACAGAGGTCTTGTATCTGTTTGGACGTTTACACAGTTCCTGTATCGCACGCATGCATAATATAGCCTTGTCCTTCAATGTACAAAATGATTTCCTCTTAGTAGGCCAAATACTACTGCAGCATCATCATAGCAATTATCACAGAGTCAGTGTCAAAAGCTGCAGGAGGCACAGTTTCTGTATTATAATTTACTTGGTACAAATTTTTAATTGACATGTTCTGTAAATAACAATTAACAGGATGACGTGTGAGTTATCGGAAGCTGTTTTACGCTATTCTTTGAAGTGACATGTGTGGAAACCGTGAGACGCCGGAGGCAGAAGGTGTGACTGTCTCATCAATAATTCCCCACAAGCTTCTTTTCCAATTATCAACTCATTGATTACAGCATGTTGGTTTTGACATTTGGTCAAGATGCAACTCTCAAGTAGTAGAACTGCTTTACAACAAAGGAAAGCAAAAACGCTCATGAATTTTTTCCATTTCCTTCGATACTAGTTCTTAGTGAAGATGCAAATTTTAACAAGTTAGTGAGAAATACCTAGTTTAATTTATCAAAAATACTTTGCCTAAAACTGTTGGGCCCTGGCGTTTGTACAAGTCAGTCTTTGAACCACAAAAATAGTATATTTGTCAAGGAGTATTATTATTTAGGAGTATTTATGGCAGCAGGACGGTGTGTCAAGTGAAGTCAAAATAAACTCCGTTGCCCACGTCTCAGGTAATCGAAGGAAAATGTCACCCAGCTCAACGGCAGGTTTCATCAACACGTTGTCAAACCAATGCATCAATAAGAGCTTCAAACTATGACAGTTTATGTACCCCGTCTAACCCGCGTGAGTCACTCGACAACAACACTAACATGAGTAAACGCGTTGCACAGCACGCAAACAGCAGTCTGTGGTGCACCATGTTTGTTTGGTCGTCCCCACAAGGTTGAGGCAGATCAGTCAGTCACTCCGGACATAATGCCAAACTCCTTGACGTTTGGGAGCGAGGACGACTATGGGGAGAACAACAAGAATCCAGCTTGGAATGCCAAAACAAAGTGGGATCAAAGTAGAAATAATTCATATTTTACTGTGGTTTGAAAGGAAAATTTCTTTCAAGGACATTCCTGTTTTTCATTGAATTTTAAATAAAATAAAATGTTGACTTTCAATTTGGTGTGCAAAGAAAGAAATTGTGTTCCTTACTGCTCTGAGAAAGAGGACTTATGTATAAGCGTAAATTAAAAAAGTAAATAAATAACAATTGTGACGAGTTAAGGGCTGAAAGCAAATTGTCAACATTTTAACTTGGAGGCAGTCTTGCATTTAATCTGCAATTCAATTAATGAAGTTCTTTTGTTTAGCTTGTCATTTTTCCTCCTTCACGATATCAGCTTTTCAGGGAAAATACAAATATGTGTTAACGCCTGTGGATCAATTCAATAATGGTATCTAAATGTTTTGGGGCATGCATTAATCCCTTCTTCTTGTCAGTGGCACACATGCAGCTGGAGGTGCATTAGCACTGATGATTAGCTAAGAAAGTGCTAATTGTGTCATTTTCCAGTCAAGTGTTTATTCTGTTCTTTGACACGTGAGAGGACATGCACGGCTGTGCATTATTGGGCATTGCATCAAGCGTGCTGGTAATAACCTCCACCAAAGTCAAAGCCACAAACACATAATCATCATCATGTTCCCCCTCTGATGCAGCAGCTCGCGGCATAATAACCTCAGAGGGTGAAAGGCATGCTGCAGGAACCTTCGCATGTTTAATACCGTACCTTAACCTGCTGCTATAAAACCTACTCTGCGTGATGACATATGAGTAACTGCTCTTTCTGTCGAGGTTGTGGACAAGGACAAATGGGGCCTCAAACTGCATATGAGCAAGCTGACAATATATGCAAAGAGAATGACACACAAAAACTACTTCCAGAGTATTACAACTGATGAGTAATGGCAGCCAGGGGGCTTGATGCATTATAGTCACTCAGTGCTCGGGCGTTTACGGTGGTCTTACGTTTGAAAACAAAGCATTTTGCAGAATCAGCTTCAGAGTTTGAAATAAGGAACCTTAAATTGAGCAACTTTCATCTAAGTTGAAGAGAACATGCTTACAAAGTGAGATTATGTAACTACTTAAGAAATACCGCGTCAATTTGTATATCGATGAAAATTTTAACGCACAAGTAATAAACAACGTCATCCTGAATTTAATACACTGACGGAGTTTATATACTAAAGCCTTAGTTACTCTGGTATGAGCAGTAACAAGTCTCTGCTGAGGCTGCTTTTAAATTATGCTTTAGAATTTACTACCACGCTACATCAAGCAAATATTATATTGACTCACTCAACTATAAAGTAAGTCATTTCTCTCTGTTATCATCAGCCGAGTGTATTAACCCTGTCCTATAGCGGACTTGGCTGTTTTGTTTGTAGTCTATTCTTCCCTCTGTAATCGGGTTCTGCATTCATGTGCGACGGTACAGTCTACTGGTTGCCGTTTCAGTGGTGTTGCCAATCACCTTTTAAATGCAGGTCAGTCTGTGTGGAGAGCTAAAGACACGGAATGGATGGGCTGAAATGGGATTTCAGAAGTTAGTGATTTAGATTTTTTGGGGGGGGGTTATAAGAAGCTTGTAAACTGGCTGCTTTCAAAACTATCCAGTCAAAGTGTAAACAATAAGCAGCGCAGGAAAAGGGAGTCTTGGCTTCGATACACCGGACCCCCAGGACGACAGCCCCTTACTGCAGAGACATATCGGTTGTCAGACTGATGGTCGATGGGATCCTTCATTTGATCCAAAACTGAATTAATTCGTTATCTCCAGAGCTCTTAGTCTGCCATATCTACATATCCCTTATGGCAAATCATGACTACTAAATTTCATTATTTAACTTCAAGTTAGATTAGAGATCACAAAATATTCTATCTATACAAGTGAACAACCTGTTTCAGGCAAAAACAAATAAATAGCTGTCTTGGAGAAACCAACCAGTATTCTCCCCTTTTCACCAAACATGAGGGATTAAGAAAAAACAGCAGATGACTGGAACCGTCGATGCCCCTTATGACACAACTTTGACAGCAGCAGCAGCCCTATAAATAACTGATGAATTCTAAACATAAACCCCAGTGAAGGAGTTCAAATGTTGATTTGTAAAACAAATTATTTTATCCCGTTAAATAATTACACAAAATTCATTCAAAAAGTACCGGAAAGAAGGGCATCAGTTAATGGTGAGTTGGAGTTTGACATTTAGAAATCTCTGAATCTGATAGATCGAAGTCAACATGTGGTCTAAGTGCCACAACGATCCCTTCATGAGAAAAACTAATGTGACAGTGTGTTCCCGCCAGGTATGATTATTTCACATGTACGTGTGTCACATTGTCAATAATGTGTGCTGCTGGGAATTCCACCTCAAATCCTGAAATATAGAGAGTTCTTTTGACTTCCAGTTTATTTATGTAGATCTATACAAAATAGGCTAGTTGTTCTGACAGTATTTCCACAGCACGACCGAGCCAGCCTTTTAAAACCAAATTGAATTGTGTTTTTTTTTTTTTGCCATTTGTATGTCTGATTGTATTGTAAGCCTGATCCACAGCTCCTGGATTATTCCTGCAATATGATTCATTGCTTAAGCTATATGGATTTCTGGCATGAAATACGGGAGAAAACCCATTAAAGCTACTGCTGTTTAGTTAGAATATGAACAGTCCTTCTTAGCTGTGCTGCGGCGTAAAAGAAGGTGGAATGGCCAAGACAGCTTTGAAAGAAAGCCTCCCAATAACCGCAATAACAACCTTTTACCTTTACAGAAAGGCAAGGGAAGAAATGAGACATTGATTTACAGTATAGACGTGGAATGTTCCCAGTATCTGTTTAACTCCTGGATAAAATACCATAACTGAATTTCTGCAACGGAAATCTAAGGAAATGACGTCTGGTGAAGAACTTGTCCCTTCACCTCGAAAGCTGAGGCAGAGCAAAACCAAAGAAGTTAGACAGAATATCCGCTTACACTGTGTGTATTCTTACGTGCCATGAGGGTGAGTGGGTGTTTGAACTCTAGTGACTGCCTGCATATCCTTGGAGATGCATATCTGATGTTGTGTGGTTAAAGTGTTGCTGGGTTTGAATGTGCACCTGGTGAGTAAACTCACCCCTGACTTCCTTTCGCTTGTGTATTTTCCTCGGTTTGAACACGTGTGTGTGTGTGTGTGTGTGCGTGTGTGTGTCCATGTGAGCGTACGGGGGCGGGAATCTTACGACATGTGACAGCTGGTGGGCCGATGCCAACGGGGAAGGATGGAGCAGAGAAGGAAACGACTGTTGCCACGGCAACGCCGAGCTTGAGTGGCTGATGGTCGGGTAGCGGGAAGTAGCTGCCAGCTGAGACAGCGAGAGCTGCAGAGAAACAATGCAAATGATTCACTGGTATTATTGTGATTATGAAAAACAGGGATCAGTAATGTACTTCACGCCAGAGAGACATGTGTGTGCCGTGTCAGATGACAAAAAACAGACCATTACACTGCTTTGGCACTTACCCCGCTACCCGTTCCTCCACCCAATATACTTCAAGAATGTCCTGCCCCAGAAGGGAACAATCCTATTTATCTGCTCCCTCATTTCTTCCAAAGACTTTTGAGTGGAAACGAGAGAAAATGTAGCTTCTAACGTGAGAGTGGCTGTTGCTTTTCTGAGAGAGTGATCCTCAACAACAAATTATTGACAAGAAGTAGATGTGTAAAGAGCAAGAGGAAGTTAAGAGAGAGAGAGAAAACGTCCGGTTTGACCCACAATGCATCGGCCTTCAAGAATAGAAACCACTTTTGGTTTTCTCCATTTGAATTGGCTTTGGTTGGTGTTTGTTGTAAACGGGACCTCATCACTTACTCGATGATTACCTGTTGATACATTCTAGATGTGTATGTCTCTCTTCCTTTTCCCACTTTTCTTAAATTATGGGCACAGCTTTCTTTAAAAGTATAATAAATTGTTCACCCTTTCAGTTAATTTTTATAGTTTATAACAAGGCCGTTTCACAGCATTATTTCCATCATATTCCAAGCCCATCATTCACAGTTCTGCTTTGCTGTTATTTTGTTCTTTTGGCAGCAGACACTTCACATTAAAGCTAAGGAGAGTAAGGGTGAGATACTTGCAAGAATAAGCACGATAAAAAATGTTTAAAAATCAAACCCCATCAGCAAAGTGTTGCTTACTCTTTCCCCAAATCTATAGTTTTTTTTTGTCACAACATTGTTTCATGGATTGCTGTGGGGATGTTAAAATAATTTAGAAAAGATGTGACTGAAAATGATTTCTGAAAACAACCCTAGCTTTAAAAATCTGCCAAGAAAGGGAGGCATTACTTTCTTTGAGCTGCTGGAAGGCTTTTCACAGGAAGTGTGAGTTTCATTCATAGTAGCTTAATGCCAATAGGATTGAAAAGTAATGAATTTGAATGTGAAGGAAATCTGTTTAACAGGAAAACGGGGGAAGCGGGAGTAATGCAATCCAGTGGAAATGTACTGAATTCCCCATGTGTGTCGCCAAGTCCATGTACCCCCCCCCCCGCCCCCCTCATGTCTTTGTCAAAATGCTGTAAATGCTATTTCAATCCAGAATTATTTGATGTTAATTTATAAAGAGTTCTTTCTATTATTGAATTCAGACACCTCCCCATGTATTAACCTGAATGTAGACATGAATACCTGCACGTTTGAAATAAGTCACAAGCAATTTTACAACTTTATTTATTTTGATTAATCATTTGGATTCCTCTGATCTAGACAGGTTTCTGCTACCTGCTAAAGGCAGCAAAGTGGTTTCCTCCCTATAGGAGGTCCGCAGGGAGGCGTCCTGGAGGAGTCCCTGTCACACGTCCCGACCTCATCTGTTGGCTCTCTTTCGCAAAAGAGCAGCGGTTCTGCTTTGCATTTCAATCAAGAAATCTGCGCTGTTCACTTTGTCCCTCAGCGTAAGCCAAGACGTCCTTTAAGAGAAACTTAAACTGGCCTTTTGATCGTTGGAATGTTTAATCTAACCCGATGAACCCGGCCAACTAAATATTCCCTAGATGTTCCTGCTAAATATTCATAAAAGCGTTTCTTTTTATTGAAAATGATAGTGATGGGCTTATGGCTGAATTCTAGAAGGGCGCAATACTTTTTTACCAAAATTCCCGATATTCTTTACTCTACACATTATTCACCAACAAGATCAGAAACATATTTTTCCAAATTAGCTGATCTAAGGAGGTTACTTTACTTCATTACTTAGAATGCGGTTAGCATCACCTTAATCATTAGTCAGATTGTCACCAAAAAAAGTACAGTAATCGACAAAGACATTCATTCTCTTTTTTGGGGAGTTTATCTTGAGAAACAAAGCAACAATGCTAAAAACTGCATCATGGACTTCTTGTGGTTAATATTCCTCAACGGTCCTAATTTCCTCTGCTAAATAGTTTGTGAGCCTTGTGAATCTGTTTTAGTCAAAATAAATGGCTCTCTGGGGGGCGATAAAGACACCGCATAGAACCCTATTGAGCCGTAAGGAAGGAGATGTTCACGCACGCAGGGATCTGTTGGACATGCGTGTACTTCCTGGATATGCTATCCATGTGGGGACATTACATTGATTTCCTTGGATTCCCTCTGGCTTTGATGTAGATCAAACAGAAGCAATCCCACTGCGTGGACTCTGTGTGCCACAGCGACAAGTATCACAATAAAACACTAGATGTACTGAGCAAGAGGAAATATTTAGCGTGGACTACACTGCAGCTGTGACTGCAGATTTATGACCTGATTCAAGCTGAGGTAACCTTAATATGGATGCATTGGTTACAGCGGTATCCATAGCAACTGGAGTAAAGCTGTTCAGAGCAAATTGTGGAGGTAGTTGTGAAAATAAACAATTTATTTCTGAATTCAAGGCCCAATTTCCCCCTTGATCTTCCTGTTAAATAGCTTTAAAATGAGAACAACAACGTGGAATGCAATTTGTGACATCACCATGTATTTTCTGTATCAGCTTGCTCCAAATGTCCATTTGAAGATATATGATGTTTACGCTGACTTGAATATATAAATAGAAGACTGCATGTGCTTAGTTAATGGAAATATTCTAGACATGTGAATGGTTTTCAGCAAATTTCCCCCACAATCCCCTTAAATAAATAAAGTTAGGAGAGTTTGAGAAATAATGGCTGATCATCACATCTTTGTCATAGTAAATACCGAAGTGTACCAAGACTTTGAGGGGCTGATATGAGGATCAAAACCAGACCAGTGTGAGTCCCACACTGCATGCCACACTTACATAAAATCCAGAGTCAATTGTGTCTGAAACATGAAGAGACAAAAAAAAGTAAAGTCTGAGACGGCATCAAGCCTGACGAAGTGTTGAATACTTCTCAACTATCAGTATCTGCCTTAAAGCGGTTGATTTTGGTGTCATGCTAAAAATCTGGCCCATCGGCCATGGGATTGCAAGACAGGACGTAGCTTTTATTGTTCTGCTGTACCGGAATCCACCTTGACTAACTGAATTGAAGCTTAACACAGTAATCTTCAACAACGGCAACCATAGACATTCGCTCATTTGAACCCTTTTATGTTTAATGGTGCACACGAAATGTCTCTGAAATAAAAGTTTGCAGTGGTTTGACTCAAGTCCACATCATGGTCTGAGTGGATAGCCCCGTTCCAAACTGCTCACTAACAAACACTGTTTGGTGTAGGTGTAGCCATAAAATGAGCTGTTCTGGCTGTTAATTGGGCAAAAGTTGCACAAAATGTGCTCAAAATGTCCCAAATGTCAAGACTGGTGGGATGTTTCAGTCCTCACAAGTACTGCGAAGCCAGATCACATTCACACACAGATACACGCATGTATGTGATATCACATTGAGTCATCACGTTCTGCACACAGAGGGTGTGAAAGACACTCTGCATGGGAGTATCACACACACACACACACACACACACACACACGCACACGCACACACAGACAGACAGACTCAGCTAGAGAATACGCAGAGGCAATTAGTAGTGGCAATGCTGTGGCTGCCAATGTTCTGAACTCAGCCTGTTTGGCCTGACAGCCAAGCAGATCATCTGTTCACATTCTGGCTTCATGGGACCTTCATGTGCGTATGTGTGTGTGAATGTGTCTGAGGTATTGTGTGTGTGTGTGTGTGTGTGTGTGTGTGTGTGTGTGTGTGTGTGTGCGTGTGGGCGTCAACTTTTAATGTGGCTGTGTGTGTGTCCTTCTACTGTGCATTGTCTTGTCAATTGTAATTTGAGGATTGCGTTTCTTTTTGACGTATTACATTGGGGGTGGATGGATGATCCAACTGCAGACACCGCTGTTTGTATCCCGTGTGACAGGCAATGTTTACTTATTTTAGTTAACATCCATACTTCATACCACTTCAACTAAATCCAACAGAGTAGTTTTGTTGGGTTTCAGGTTTGTATGACTGTTTTCAACATGTTCATCATGTTAAAGACCGTGATCATAACGTAATTGACAAGGTTGGGTTTTGGTTTCCTGAGACTGACACTGTCATCATAAACAAAGAGAAGGAACGGTGGTTTCAAAAAGGGGGAAGATCACGAGATCCAGTTAAAAAGAAGCAGAGATTACCGGAATTAAATATGAAGAACAAAAGATGGAAGAGTCGAGCACACAAGAGAGGAAAATATTATAGAAGCATGAGAAAAGGGGGAGGATCAGGTTGGCGGGTGAACAAAGCGGGTTGCATGCAAGAAGTGTTGATTGAGTGCGAGTGTGACGAGAGAAAAGCAAAGGTGAGGATGTCTCGCAGAGTGAAATGTTAGAAGAGTGACATTAATCTTTATCGAACAAAGAATAAAAATAAAAATGGAGAAAAACGTGATAATTATGTAAACATGGCAACCAATGATATAGAATGAACAGCTTATCTATCTATTTATATATCTGTTTTAGAAAATTGGTCAATAGTAGTACCCTGCCTGGAATTGGGTTTTATCCAAGTAACTAACCTGATTAAAACTGATAACTTAAATGAAGATTTTGAGATCATATTGCAATATACAGTATCTTAAAACTAGTACATCAGACGGACGGAGTAACCTGCTTTTATTCCACATCTGTCTCTTTTTGTGCTCACAATTGCATGAGCAAGATCCACCGCACCCCCAAAATAACCACTACCTCATATTCAAATGTACCTCCCTAAATGTGCAGTGGACAGTTTCCATTTCACATACGAAACCAATTGTCACTTACAAAAGCTTGTCAAGACACAACCACACTACTTACAATTGATTATATTTGCTTTGTCAAATCACACGGTGCAATAACACCTTTTCATCTTTTGAAAAATGATACGTTTTGATGCAAATCAATCTTGACATACTGCTCAAATACTACTGTATATTGCTTAACCATTTGCTTTCACATATTTGCAATTAAATGTATTAAATTTTGTTGTAAATAGATTAGGATTCACCCGCAATAAACAATCTTTAAAAATCTTCAAAAACCTTCAATCCTATTCTTATCCTAATCCTATTTCAGCCGAGCTGGCTGCCAAACAGCCCTCTGCCAGCAACAAACTCAAACACGGCCTCACCTCCGGCCCGCAGGCTACAAGACCACCTGGGTCGACGCGACGCGAGCACGACCCTGAGACATGACCGCAGCCCGATGCGAGCGATCATCTCCAACAGACTCAGCCAACTCTCCCAAAATGCCGGCTATAAATACCTCAGGATCCTTAGCATTCTGCGCGGCGGCACGCCGAGAGCGTCGGGGATCAATAATTTATGCGAGCAAGAGAAAGTTGTCAGATCCAACAATGTCTACAGACAAGAGCCGGAGCGCACGGCTTGTTTACAGAGCAAGATGCCGTTGATTAATCAGCGCCTGACAGTCACGCAGAGGAGGATGGAACTGTTTTTGTTGAACAAGCAAAATCATTTTAGGATTGAAAAGAGTGTATTTTTATAACGGTATCTTTGGAAGCGTAGGACGTAGAGAGGTAGCGAAAGAAACAGACTGTTTTAGGGGACTTTGCAGCACACATTGGAGTGGTGATGAGTTGTCGGGTGACTGCCAGCAGCAGCGGAGGCCTCACACGGGGTTTTCTGTTGCAGCTCTTTTCTACCCATCAGATAGATGTCTATGTTGTGCACGCTGAGCACTAATGATGACCGCTGCTAGATTGCTCATTGTTGTATTTTATAGATTATGATGTTATGAGATTCATTTACTGGAAACTTAAAGCGGCTTTCAGTGACTTTTGGGGCGGTTGCAATTTGTGGAACATCTGAAATCTAGTGACATCGTAAGTGCATGTTAGCTCGACTTTGGCTATTTACACATTCAGCGAAGCAACATTACACCTTTTTGATGCGTTTCTAGATAACAAATCAATATAAGTCACGTAATCACTGCACCGACTCTTGGCTCTTTGGACTTAACAAACCTGCTGGTCACTAACTTGTACATCTCTTATTTGTAGAATGGGGTTTATCAAAGCTGCTGAAAACAGGAGCGTGTACATCTGGAAACATGGTGGATGGGAGCAGAACCAAAACAATTAGGCTAAAAGACGATCTCCAAAAGACGAAAAAGCTCCTGTTAAGTGTTTAGCAGATTTATTAGCCCACTCACCTGCAACACCTACTAGTATGTTCAGCAGGGTCATTATCTAATCAAATCATTGATTACCAATACGAAGACAAAAAGACTATGCTGACCTCTAGTGGCTGTAGTCTTCCTCCAAGCCTGATGCCAGCCGAGCACCATGGGAGCAGCAATTCAGGCGCATCAAATGAAGCGCATCCATTTTTGGGCCTTAAACCAAGTGGCTCTGTTGATCACCCCCCCCCCCCCTTCCCATTTTTACAAGATGAAAAAGATGAAAAAGAGCTGAGCAGTGTGACCACGGTTGAGTCTGGTTACCCAGTGGCAGCAGGCCACTTGCAGGCCTCCGTTGCCCCCGCAGCTGAATCAAAATGGGGTGATTTGCAGGGTTTATGGGTGTAGCGCTACCAGCTAGTTGGTTCAATATAAAATGACTGTGGCTCGTATTGGCCCAGAGAGCAACACACATTCTAGTGTGTGTGTGTGTCCCTAGCCTCATTCTGAGAGAGAGCAGCATCCATCACAACTCCAAGTCTCCCTTGACACCTCCACTCAGGCTGAGGGATGGATGGTAACGGTCGCTTAGCTCAGTAAGGACGAGCAGACACCCAAAATACACACACAGCAGCACACGCTGCTGGTACGTGTTACATCTGTTGATTTGCTGGACTCGACACTGGGAGCAATTCAAATGATTACATAGTCAATGTGGAGCCTAGCGGCGTCGCCTGTGAGAAACGATAAACATACACCGACACTAATGGGACATTTAATCTGGTCTAAACCAGGTAAACATTGATTAGCAACAACAGTTTTACTCCTATTTCTGAGGCTTCTGCAGGGATTCTGTTCCATGATTGACACACAGACATCTTGTTGTCTTTCACCACAAATACAATTTTGAACCACCCACCCACACGCCTTTCTTCCGTAAATCAACTGCCTACTTATTCTGCTTGCAGGATATTTTCATCGACACAATTACTGTGCAATCTGATAAAGGGGAATCCACATCCGCTAAACTTCGTCGACAAACCGGCCACTGTGGCTGAGTCATGACGTCTTTATAAAGAGCGCAGAAGATGCATCCATGTACAGTGAAGTGCTGGAGGGGCTTCCTGGTCCCGTCATCCAGCCAGGAATCTCTGCACGTCAACAGTTAACTGGAATCCATTCATATTGTCGGGAACAGGCAACAGCCACACAGGATTTGAATCAACTCTGAATACATTATTTTTAGATAACAATGATCAAAATGTAGATCCACTGATCTCCACAGTGGTTTTAGCCTCTTTTAGATTATTTTTTTTGTTTTCTGGCACATAAACGCTGATCACATCCACCTTGTTTAACCGTATTGCAGATTTCCAAATACGGATTTTGTTTCAATAGATGACTTCATAAGATGCCAAAATGCCAGATGTTGGATTTTCTCTTAGTGCCGAGTGTTCAAAGAGCAGGACCCTTTGTTGACCCGCTGATAGCAGGATTTATTTTTGAGGGAGAAAGAAAGTAGCATAAAAGGCGCTTAAGTGCTTGTGATGTAGTCTTGCTTCTATAGTGAGAAATAAAAGAACTTGAGATGAAGCCCCTTTATCATTGTGCAAGCTGTTACAGCACTTAGGTTTACCCTCGGTCGTGTTGCCCCCCCACGCACCCTCTTACTTTAGTGTTCTCCGTCAAATGTGACCGGACTGCTCTGACATTAACACAAAAAACCTTAGTCAGCACAAAATGTATTAGTTAACACCTTTTTAAGCCATAAACAATGTCCGAGACTAGTGGTGTAATGAATACACAAAGAATAAGCACTAAACATTGGTGGAAAGAGTTGGTAGCTGGACTTGATGTCATTCTATCGGCCGTTGTATATCTTGTTGGTCCTTATTTTATCCTTGTTATGTTTTCAACTCTCACGCCGCCTCATTTGTCCTCGGAGGATGAAAATGAGCCACTGTAACCGCAGAAGATTGTTCCTCTGGTGCAGCCTACTCGACATGTGTTGACTGCTCAGTCTCATAAAAATCCAGATCGAAATCCAGGATCAAAATGATGTTTACTTTCTGAGACATCTCCGCTTCAATCTCCTCTTAAAATTTCTCGCTCGCTGATTGTGTTTACACCTGAGTGTGTGTGTGTGTGTGCGTGTATGTGTGGGGGGGGGTTGTGTGTATGGGGCTGATTTCCAACTGATGAATGGATGCATCTAGTGTTTCCTGTTCATTTCCTATAGCGGATAAAACAGTGGGGGTCAAAGTTCAATAACCTACTTAAAATGCAATGAGTGATGATCAGTAATTGCATATGTTAAGAGGCCCAGAAGGCCCTTGAGGCATCACATGTAAAACACAATATTTATGATTGATTGTAAATTGGTCAGATTTGACCCCCACACGAGAGGAGGCTTTAGTCACTAAGGTGAGCAGGTGTCTTACCCCGGGGCCTTGAGGTGATTCTGGGGGAGAAGTTGGTTGGATGTTTTTTTGGCCTGAAAAAGAAAAGCAAGGAAAAAAGATTTCAAAAACTGTGTATACTAATAGTATGCATGAACCAAGTGTCGCTTGTGTGTTTCTGCAGACGACTCCAGTTCAGTGTTGAGCGAGCTCGATTAGGAACATTGTAATGTCCTCCCCATGCTCTGCCTACCTGGCGGCCCTGCTAATTGCATAGTGTGGTTAGACATTAAATGGAATGGCAGCTTGTGAGAGAGGGACATTAAAATATCTTTTCAGATTGCCTTCCCGTTGATTGGATTCGCAGTCGGGGTGGCGTCCTGAACCACGCGTAAAGAGCACATTGACGAGGTGAACCGCGTGACATTGTCACAGCAAAGTGAACAACTACTCAGAAAAAATGTGACGCGATAGTAACACATCTTCACACGGATCAGCCAACAGAGCCAGATTTAGATGTCGTACTGAGTATAAAGTCCAACAATGCGTCCGGAGCTTTTTGCTTGGTAGCCATGGTAATGCTGAAATGAGAATCGCTTTGTCCTCCTCTCCCACTCGTTCTCGCTCTCTTCGCCGGGCTTGACTGGCCTTTTGGAAATTGCTTCAGTTGCCCGGGGTGTCTTACTGTAGCTCCCATCTGCTCAGACTGCGTGCACACAGAGTGGACACGGAGCAGAACTGGCTTGCTCTCCGTCGCAAAATGTGCCCTGGCGTCCCCAGTCTCCTCCTCCCCTTCCCCCCGTCTCCTCCTCCCCTTTCCTTCCCAGCAGCCATTTAGATTTGTACGGCTTTCTGTTTCCACACTGTTTCACCTCTCGAGTCGGTGGAAGAAAAAAAGAAAATGTGTTCCACCTCATTAGTGGCTGGACTGTAAGCAATTGGCCGTTTATTTGCGATCAACGAGAGGCCGGCTGGACGGCGGAGAAAACGAAAGCCTCCGTACGACGAGCCGATACGAGCACCTATACGTGCGCAAGACACCAGGGATTGAACAGTATTTAAATATGTAAAATAATGCATCATTAAACTTCATTAATATGCATTTCTGTCAAAGCCGCACATTTTATGCCTCTCAGCTGATCATTAGAGGCAGTGAGTGATGGTGATGTAAACAACCAGGGATGCTGTAAATAAATCATAGATTAATAAAAATGTACGGAATTGACAAGAATTTCGCCCGCGTGTAGATACCTCCCATGAATTATTTACAGGATTCACATTTGTCTTGTCTGTTTTTTCCCCTCTTCCCTGGATGTACTGTGTCGTTTCAGGTCCTGTGTCCACCATAACCAACGAACATCTCCTGCCCACCTGCAGCCAAGGAGCATATATGGCGTCCCACTTCTGTTCATTCCTGAGCCTGATCATCAGTTGTTCTTCTCCCTTAGCAACTGTTTTTTTTACCCGTTACCGGCTTTCTCCAACTGTTGGCCTCATCTCCACTGCCTCCATGGTTTTGACTTTTGGCTGTTTTCAACCTAAGAGCAACTTTTTTTTATTTGCCAGCCTGGTATTTTGAATTGAACTCCAAAGTCTGGACCCCCGGTGGCTGGTTGCAGAATGCGTGATGCGTCCCGCTCCCTCCATGTAACAAGGTTACGGATCCAATATTGTTTCTGCAAAGATGATTTCTTTCACTTTTGGTAGTTCTTATCACGCCAATGTATGATCAAGTATTGTTTTCTTTGATGAATGTAGTTTTAAATAGACACGAGATGCTAAAAAAGAGCGTGTGGCATCAGAATAGTTGATGGTGTTTTCAGAGGAACTGTCAGACACAATGGGGAGATGTAACTTTCATTTTCCATCACCCTAATAGTCTAAGACTAAAGATCTTTGCATAAAGTCTATGGTTTGTGAAGCCACTGATAATGATAATAGTGCTAGCTAGCAACATTTCCACTGACATTAGGGACAGCTTTGTGTGTGATACAAAGATGCAAATTCTATTAGGAGTGTGGTTTTGTGTCAAAAGGCTGCCGGGGTGCCAATGTAGCAGCGAGGCGGCTGTCTGGGTAAGAGGCTCTGGAGGTACATGGGAGGAGCAGCCCACGGCTCAAGCCTCCCCATCCAGACCTCTCAGGCTCCGGCACCAAATGGCATGAACAGCGCACGGTGGCTTCACCGTTCTACAATTTACAGTTCAAACCAGTTCGTACTTTAGAAAAGGTTAAATGTAGCTTGTTTCTTTGTTTCCAATGACTCATTAAAAGACCGAGAAATGTGGTGAGATGTCCGCATTAATACATATATATGCATCACAGATGTAAATGACATGTTTAAGGGGTGGTTATGAATTCCATATCAGTATGGAGAGCAGCACACGCACACCCACAAATACAAAGTCAAGGATGATTAAGGCGCTGAAATCAAAGAATGACAGAGATTCATTATATCATTCTCCTCTGAACAGTAGCCCAAATCATTCAGGCTTCTTGTGCGAACCTCCGAGGAGACTTGAACACTGATTAAAATGTCATTAATAGACTTTGCCAAAAGTCTTCTCTACACACCCATGAAGTGGGCCCTGATCAACGCTATTCTTTGTACCAAGATAAGTTAACAGCATCATTAGCGGGGGAATCATTGAGTATACAACCGGGGGGACCACTCAAGTTCTTTCTGCTGTCACCGGGATTGAGTGGCTACGTATTGTTGTTTGCAACCGCTTGATCAATTAACCGACAGGCGCAGTGCGGATCTGCGCCGTGGGCTTCAGGCAGAGTTGCAAACATTGGCGCATCATTTATGTTTCTAAGTGTGATGTGGAATGTATCAGAGCTTTGATTTAGTGGGGTTCATGGTCATGTTTGGAAAGGATAGAACGGTCACACTTAATTGGGAGCGACAATAAAAATAATCCTGATAAGATTTGAAAATCTGCAGGAAGAAAAAAGAAAGAAGACTCCGTTCAGGCTGCTTTTCACAATTTTAGCCACTGCACTTTAAAAAACGGTAGTTGGTGATATTCACCTTTTTAAAAGCGCAATTTGTCGCTGAAGAATGTGTGTGTTGTTGTCTATATTCAGGCCAAAGTTCTCCTTTTAGAGCAGACATCAGCGCGAAAAGGCGAAGCAATGCTTGTTCAAGATCAAAAGGTCCTAATGGACTGGAAAAGTCTTCTCGCAGCACTTTGTGTTTATTCCCCTCGGACCCCAACCATTAAATGTGCTAATTATGCAGAGAGCAGGAGGAGCAATTGAGATAACGCTGCAGAGGTGGGGGCTTCATCACATGCAGAGGACGGGCTAGTTTGTTGCTTGTTGCTTAGAACGTTGGCTGATTCCACCAGACTGTTGCCGCACACTTGAGACGTGCCCGCAAAAAAAGATTTGCCTGAAACAGCCCACAAACATTCTGCTCCAATAAACGAGAACCAAAAAATGTGGTTTGTTCCTCGAGAGAAACTCTTATTCCCCTTCCAAGCATTACATTGGTGTGCTTAATGAGCCAGTGTGGATTACGCGATAATATTTACCCTGTGAAGGCGATGATGGTGACCTTCTGCGACGTGACTCATCCTCCCGCTTCGTCCTCAGAGATGCCTTTGGGCTCGATGCCTTCCTTTCCGGAGCCGACGAGAGACGAAACGTTATGGTGTCCTTCGCCTGCGGGATAAGAGGAAGATTCACACATTTAAGGAATAAAAGAAGAGTGTGGGAGACTTAACAATTCATATTATGTAGGGAAGGAGACATCTGGAATGGATGAGATAGCAGCGGAACAAAGAGGTATGTGGCGGTGACGTGTAGTTATTTTCAAACGTCGGAGTTGTGTGAAAATTCACAGCAAAGGTGAGAGAAGTGAAGTCATCACAAGATGACGACTTTTGCACCCTTTGAAAGGTCTGATTCTCGCACTAAAAAGATGTGACTTGCCGAGGTGATTTACAGTGCGGGGCTTTAAAGGATGATGCAATCTGGCTTTCTACTCTATCAAACACAACTTATCCTAATGCGGTGCATCAAGTCAAGAAAAACAATTGAAATGATGTGAGAGGGTTTTGCCTTCGGGGGAAACATAAGTGTGCTTGCTGAAAACAGCCTAACGTCTCGACACCCTTTTGAAAAAGAAGCGCCTCTGTGGTCTCGTTGTTACCTGAGCTGAGCCGGGAGCAGAGAGGGGCGCAGGGGCTCTGGGCTTTGGCAGACATCTCTGTTCTGTAGACCATGACTGCGTGGGGGTTCGGCCTTGCACCACCCTGTAGGACAAGCTGGATTTCTTCCCCCTTCCAGTCAGCCGACTCCCGGAAGGGACACCAAGCGCCCCAACGGAGGCACTGCAAGAAGGCCGCTCGGGACGTGGAGGCGGCAGACAGCTGCGTGACGGAAAAAGACACAAGATTAGAGGACATGAAGACATTGAGATGGTTATTAATCAATCTGTCCATGAATGGAAATAACCTTGCCTGTTTTGAGACTCCATGGGGTAAAATGGAAATATTTAGAGTGACATAAAAGGTTTAAGCATTACTTATCTTCAGCTTACAGATCTGGTCTGCATTTCAGGTCAAATAGTCCGATTGTTGGTGAGAACTGTACATTTTTCATTAGTTTCCACGAGCAAGCATTACTTTGTTGTTAACAAAAAGAAAACAATGAGTAATTGAAGAGACAATACGGAATTAATACTGCCACTATTGATAAGTGCAACCACTTATCAATAGTGGCAGTATTAATTCCGTATTGTCTCTATGCTATATATATAGCATAGTATTAACTCAAACTAAATAGTGAGAAATTATTCATTTCCTAATATTTATTTATTCGCACAATTTATTTAAATCACAAAATGAATTGTAAAAAACATTCAAATCTGACTGGGTGGGTAAAGATATGAGGCGGGAAGGACGAAAAATGTATGTTTTTTTATATTAACTTTCCGCTCACTTGAGTGTATTTTACAGGAAGGAAAACTTTGTATGCGCTCAAAAAAAAGTAAAGAGCAAACAAGAGAGGGACTGATGAAAGAGTTGCAAACTCAAAGTGGAAGGGAAGGGAAGGGGGGGTTCGGGTGGGTGCACCTTGAACCGATGAACTCCATGATCCATCATTCATTTGGAGGCACGGGTGGTGCCGTGCAGCATCAGGGATTGTGATACCAGCTTTGCCACGCAGCGGTTTGCTGCCTAAAGAAAAACCTGCATTATAGAGAAGATTAGGAGTTACTGCGTCTCCGGCAGTTAGTCAGAGATTTTTAGTAGAATGGCAAAGAAATATATAATAAGTACTCAACTAATCATTTGAATAATTGAGGGAAATATGAAAATAGTTTGTTTAGCGAAACACATGAAAGAAATGTATGGCATTGGTTTTGCTTGTTACCAACAATGACAAATATTAATGGTCTTTGCATCAGGGGATTGAGTACTTGGTCAAACATACAGCATGTGGTGCTTGAACATGATTTATAATCTGTCCCAATGCAACTCTACCGCAGCAATCTCAGGAAAAGTAAAAAAAAATAAAATGCTTCGAATGATCCCCAGAGAGGTTTTGCTAAATCGATTTAATGAGCTGGTCAGCCTCAGACAATTGTAATCAATCACAGGTAACATATAGAGTACACAACGAGCCTCCTAGTCCACATTATTTAAGATAAAGTGAAGCATATAATGGTTGGCTCATTGCTCAACTACCCTGAGCACATTCTTTACATGTAGCACCACAATCCCCGAGCGCAGGTCATCACTCAGATACAGTAAGTACTGCTTCATTAGAGATGTCACGCAGCGTCCGGTGGGTGGTATTATTGGAAAAAAGGAACTGCCTGCAGTAGTCTTGAAGCAGAGATTTAAGGGCGCTTACAGCACGACGGCAGTAATTCGATGGAATGAAACCATTAGATCTATGAATTATTTTCACTTCATTTAATAGATTGAGGGAGACAGAAAACCGGAAAACGGGGCATTGCACCAATTTGGAAATTCATGACTAATTCTATTAATTCTTTAAATTCCGGAAAAAAATCCTTTTCCAATAAGCTCCAGCAGGAGTATACGGATGACAAAAAAAAAGGTTTTCCTTATTGATTTAGGTATTCAGTTTCAGGCATTGGTCTATTAGGGAATGAAAAGTTTATTTACTTCCAGGCAAATACAAAACTTCTCACAACCAATGCTTTGTCCTTTTCTATGACACCAGTTTCAAAATGTCAGATTATTATGCAAAGTAACCTTGGTGTCCTGTTAGCTTGCTCCCAAAGCTTGACGTGAAGTGTTCGGATAATGGGGCTGACATTCCATGCACATCATTACAACTAATACTGAACTTCAACAGGAACCAAGGGAGCGAAAGGTGTAAAAGTTAAAGACATGTCATCCATTTTTTGGAGTAAAAGAATCATTTCTTCAGTATGGGACTGGCCTTGTCATTATCACACACATATAAATTGAGTTGCCTGTGCATGGTTCTACATTTACACATTGGTTGTACATATCTTCTCAAAGCTTCACAGCTCTGCATGCGGATCAATATCCCAATCCTCTCTGCAGACAGTCTGTTTCAGACTATAATTCTACCCACAAATAGCACAGACATTACCAACTATTTATTTGAACAGTAACCCCGAAATAATGCGGCAGCCGTACAACAGCATAATCCCGCTTGACGCATTGCCTGTTTCTCCATCTCATGGGGTGGAATTAATAAGGTGTTTTAAATGAAAGTCTATTTTCAAAGACACGACTGTAAAAATGAGAGCGAGATAATTTAATGGCGCGAGGCAGAGCCTGTAAAGATTGTAAGGTCGATTTATCTACTGTGTCGCTTTCCTTCTTTTTTTTATTCCACTCCCTGTGACATGTCTGTACCCTCACAGAACGCGAGGGGAAATATGTAGCTCACGACTGATCAAGCACTTCTTATAGTATTCAGTGAACGTATTCGGGTGCTGGGTTGATTTTGGAGCAGGAGATCTGACACCGAGGGAGACAAAAGGAGCAACGGGGGGCCTCTTGTACACGGGACACCTTCAGCCTGGGTGAGAGCTTTTACCCGGCCGACATCCAGCGCTCATCGCACACTTTCTCGACGACTCCGTGAGACAAGTAATAACTTTTTCATGTTTTTTTTTTTTACTTCCAAAGATTCTTCAATCACAACAACACTAAAACATTCAAAGCACAAAGTAAAAATTCCCCTTTAGACCAGCGAAGCCAGAAGCAACATGAATCACTATCGCGAGTTCAGCACAGTGGCTTTAAAGTGCTCTGGAACACTGTGATCCACACATGGACCCCGTGAAGCGCTGACAGCTCAGAATCACGCACAAAAGGATTGAAGGAATCTCAAAGATAATCTTTGGTTTATGGTTTGTATAAACAAACCTGGATAAGAGTTTTATTCACAGCCCGGCAGGATGTTCACACAATGCACTAAATCCTCAGACAAAAAAAAAAAAAATTGCCCACAGCGCTCTTGCACGCAAGCGGAAATCAATGTTGCATCCGCACGCGAGTGTAGGTGGTTTAATAGAATTGTGGCGAGGACGCGGGACGCTGTGGGAGGTACTTAGCTGATGTATGCATCAATGAGAGGAAAGTCTCCTGCGGGGTCACACACATGGACTCAAGTCAGTGAGTCTTAATCCATTGCACAGCCTGCTTGGGACAGCAAAGAGACATCAAATCAATGACATTATATTTCAGTTGAAATATAAAAAGGATTTTTTCGACAGGAAACGTTTGAATTAAGCCGGGGGAACTCGCAGTTTGAATTAATAGTTGCTTTTAGGACTGCTGGCGTTGCCACTGGTCATTATGTCGGACGGGGCAGGATGAGCAATTGCCAATCTCGCCAAAGTGTGATTACAATGTTGATTTCAGTGTCAAAAGCTACATTTACAATAAGAGTCATTAAACGTTCACACGAAGAGCAGCCAAGCACCTGTTTCAATCGTGCACTCGGCAGGAAAACAGCAGCCAGGGGGCGAAACAATCGAGCAGCAAACTTTTTCATGGAGATGCACTAAAAACAAAAACAGGCGATGTCACTGAAAACATCATTGCTCCAACCGGCAAACCGTTTCTAAGGGAAAAATTCAGGAACCTTTTTCGAAATGTGTAAAATATTTAATGCAGCAGAATCTCAAGACAAATATAGTTTAAAAAAAAGTTTCTAACCATAAGAAAGAAAAGCAGAAACCCCATTTCCCAGCAGGCGAGAGACACGACCAGCCCCATTCAGCACCACTTACTAACATAAAAGGTTATGAACGGCCTGTCCTCGTCGATGAGTAAAAACCCAACTCACATCAGAAACTGCTCCCAATTCAAAACTGCTTTCTCCTGTTAGCAGACAGAAGAACTAGAAAAAGAGTTTGTGATAGGATAAAATAATGCGGTTTGAAGTAACATCGTTTTGGAGGCGCTGAGAGGAAACGTCCGGACGGACAGCGACTCGGGGCTCCCTCGAGTGCAGCAGGAATTAATCCAAAATTACAGGGATGGGGGCATTGATGGGAGAAGGAGTCTGACAGTTATTACTAGGACTTCAGTCTGTTGGAGTGTTCTCGTCATTATTTGAGCAAAGACCCGGTGACAGGCGCCAGCCCACAGCTCCCGCTACTTAGTCTCCACAACGAGACGGAAGTGAGGAAACATGCAGCGAGATCATAAACTTAGGAGCTCACAAGAGATTACTGTGCTCTCTTCGGATCCCGCTCAGGCCAATCTACTGTGAATGTCAACACTTTTTATCTGTAGTTGGATGCTCCTCTATTAAAGTGCTTTGAAACCGCAAACCATTGAACTGCACGTGCAATCAACACATTGTTTGATTTCTATTCAGGATTAGCACTTAACTTTTTGCTTTTCCTGATCAATATGGAGTTGAAAGCATGGATAGACTATAGCAGTATTTTTACAGTGGTAGAGAAAAGCACCACCAACTGGGAGCCAGAGTCACCTTCAAAGCGTACATTATTAAAGCCCGGTTCGGGCTTCGGCGCCAGGCGCTTCCTCATTTAGAATAACAGGAATGCATTTAGCCGAGTGCAGTGATATAAAGTACCTGCGCTGATTATCCATCCCACATCAGAGCAGCATATCAAGCATTTCCCCTTAGATTAAAATATAAATCACCTAAAGATAATGACGATGTGAAAAAGATGACGAATCTCCTGCTGAAAGTAAATTACATCAAGTGCACATCACAGCAACGCCGGTCTTCTCCATGAAAATCTGTGAAAACAATACCTCATCCATACAGCCCCAAATTAATCCTGTGAATATTTTATGATCTGCACTGCCGGTGCACATTTCATACAGCTCTGTCAGACTTGCAGTATTTATCTGATCTGCACACGCAATCAGATGTG